AAAAAAAATATTATTTATAATAAAATAATCCAGTTATCAGGGCCCCAGTTATCAGAATAATATATTATAATAATTATAAAAATTATAAGATTATTAATAGCAGTTTTATATTTTTTTAATATTTATAAGATATTAATCTTCTTACAGAAAACTACTAATTCTCAAGAATCAGTTTATTCTGTGAATATAGATTATTTTTATTATTATTAGGTGAATTTATTATATTTAATAGTTGATTCCTTATCTAGTTGACAGGCTTTCTATCCTGAAAAGTAGATTCTATCACACTTAAAAATGATTATAAACATAAATCTCTTAATAAATTTTTTAGTATTGATTATAAGAAGATTAGATATTTCTATAAATTTCTATAATTTAGAACTTTATTTCTCTTCTTTTTATGTATAAAATTATATATTATTAATATTATATATATATTTTACTTCTGAAGAGCTTCATTACCTACTTAATATTATTATTATATTTTATATTCTATCTATAAGACTAAGAATTAGTTTGAGAAACTTTACTACATTTTTCATATAATTTACTAATTTTTTTCTGAGCAATCTTCTGATCATTAGTTCTCTGTTTAATGAAACAATTAGATATTATTATTAAATTTTTATATAAAATAAATCTACTTTGACTTTCTTTAATTATTATAATTTAGGATTAAAAATTTAATAATTAATAATTTCTAAAGATACAGATCAGGCTGCGTTATTCTATTTGTTTTAATATTAATTAAAGAAAAGAATAAATAACTATAATATTTAATATTATATAAAACCTGATTATTAAATTTATTTTATTTGATATACTTAAATCAGAATATTAAATATAAGAAGGGAAAGAAACTAGTATAATATAGATATATAAATAAATAAAATAAATCTATATCATATAATCTAGTCATATATCAAACACTGCTCGCCATCATAATAATTAAACATAGCTATAAAAACAGTAATAGAATATTATTAATAATCTTATAATTCAAAGATTCCAGCTATAATATAATCCCAAGTAGCAAGAGATTCTGGTCTTTAATAATTATTGTATCCTAATTGATTACATTAATAACATACTATAAGAAATCCTTATCTTTTATAACAGAAGAGGGAAGGCTCACCGTAGGCCTATCTATTCTATCATATTAGCATAATATAAAATATAAAAATAGTATATATGTTTATCAAAAATCTTAAAGGATCAAGAAAAAAGTATCCATAATAAGAAACTAAGAATTTATACATATTTTAGTAACAAATTATATTTCGTAAGATTTTGTTCTTTTCTAGCTTTAATTATAATTTTTTTTTTTTAGCTCTCTTGAGTTCTTAACCATTATTCGTCAAATATTCGAGAATTTTCATTGATTTATTCGCAGGTTATATTCTCATAATAAATCTCTAGCTAATACTGTTACTAGTTTCTAGAAGTAGATTATATCATCTGATGATATGACTGCTATGTAGTAATCATATAATAAGACAGGAGGCCGAGTCTCACAGCTCCCATATTTCCTATCTGCTAATAGCACGTGTTCGGTTCATGCTACCATGTAGATAAAAAGACCCTCAATAATTCACTTTACTTACAAATCATTGCCGAACAGCGATACATATACTACTAATTACTTTTCATCACAACTAATATTAGACCACTCATAACACTATCATAAGAATAAAAAAATATGAAGTACATATAAATACATGACAAAGCAATGAAATTATTATAAACAGTGTAAATCACATAAGCCTGCTCAAGGCATAGACATAGTCCAACCCCAGGCTATAACAGCACCCTCAGCTGGTCAAACATCCCAAAAGAATAACTCATATTAAAATCCATATCTCTATATTAGCAGGTGTAAGTCATAAATGATGTATCACGTCATCGATAACCATGGTCAAGTCCCATCAACTGGCCGTTTCGCCAGTAAGCCCCTATGACCCTTAGCCATGGTTCATGCAGGTCACCTTCGAATCACAGACATCTCGAAGTCTAGAAGAATATCACTGAGCCTTCTTGGGATCCTTCACTGCCTTGATTTCTCTTCTCCTCTTGATAGCCTCCGGGGAGTATTCAGTGTCCAGAAGGTAATCCCACCACCTGAAGCTGCTGGAATAGTTTCCTACAAACTTTTCGTGATGGAGATCATGGTGATCGGCGCCAGCCCAGAAAGGAAGGAAATGATGAAGACTCCATGGAAACTCATAGCCACTGTGCGCATCAATGGCCTGGAAAAGCCGCAGGACGATCCAGATGTACATCGTGAAGATATGCAGATCACCGGTTACTGCACACCACAGAATTGGGCAACCAACAGTACCAAATCCGAGAATCATGACTTCAATTGGAGAAGCATATTCAGCTGCCATACCAAAAGGTGCGGAATATTGATGATGGATCTTGTGGATGGCTTTATACAATGGCCCCCAATGGAGCGCACGGTGGGAAAAGTAATGCCACGTGTCTTCCAGGACAAAGAATATCGCTATCTGATAAGCCATAGTCCACAAAGAGGGAAAAGGTACAGAAGTAGACAGGCCAAAAAACTGGGCCATCGGATGGAAAAGCCTAGAGCTGTTAGTAACCCTATCACAACGGGCCATAGGAAGATCACGGGTTTCTCACCATATTTGTGGCAACTCCACGGTGAAGTGGCTGAGTAGCACAAACCTCGCGCAATCCCATTGCTCCCGTAAAGATGGTATTTTGTTCTGTAGCCCGGTTAGATCAATAGCAGGTAGGCTTGGGTAATCTGAGCCTCACGCTTTGAATCTTGTAGTTCTTGAACAGACCGAGAGTGTCTATAAAGATCCAAGGAAGGGAGCGTCCGAAATATACGATTTCGTGCATTACGAAAGACATTATTCCAGTTGCAAGAACGTCATTTTGCATCCAGGCATACCATGCTGTCCATAGTCTCTCGACCACGTTCAGATGAGTATTGTATTTGGAGATTTCTTCGAACTGGCCCCAGTATGATTCTGGCGTAGACAGCAGGGTGGTATTCCTATCTCCTGTAAGTACTCATATAGAGAAAGGACATTACATCGAAGGCTGCTCACATTGTACTAGGACGCAGGCTGGCTTTTGCCCTTAGCACTTTTCTTCTCAACTCTTCTTCGATAAACTATCGCTGTCAGAGGTGAAAAACGTAGATGACGAAAGTTTGAGAGCTTGAGAGAGTCGTTTTAATGCAATTGGCGTATGGCCAGTGTGATGGGCGTAAATGAAAGTAGTGCAGCGACAAATAGTTGCCGATGGATTGTTGCCTGTGAGAGGTTTGCTGGTATTTCAGGAACACCTGTGGAAGAACCGCGCGACCAAGGACAGCCGCTCCCGAGGTGGCGAGACCTTTCCCCCCTGGCCTTGGGCCTTTCTGGCACCACTGGCTAGCCGACTGGGACCGATATTAGTTAGCTCCACTTGCTTGGAAACTAGTGTGTGTTCCTTGGTAGATACGTTATTTCCGCTACTTATTATTATCTAATTATATTATTATTCTTACCCCTAGCAGCTAATTAAAGCGACCTTCTCACTGCATCGTACTGAATAGATACTGAGTGGACTAGCTTTAGACAGTACCTAGGTAGGTTAAGACATCAACCCTGTGCACTTTGTTCACAAGTATCTACATACTTCTTTTACCTGTAAAAGCCTACCCTTGTTGAGCCAATATGAATGGTACCGGAGATTCCAAACAGGGGTCAGTGGCTCACAATACTAAGCTATATTCAATGGTGTGAGGACTACAAAAGCGAAGGCCGTGCTGAGCATAGTGTAGTACGGAGTATATACATCACAGATATAATTCTATCATAGCCACTCCTGCGTTCGGTATACATTGTACTTCTGAGTAGATTTCCCCATATAACTACTCCTTTACGGGATGGTTTGGGCGGGAGGCGACGGATTTTCAGTCATCTGCATATGAATTTCCCTCTTAGTAGGGCTTATCTACTGCTTCAGATTTGACTTGCTATGAGTTAAATCGCCTTAAAGATAGATGTAGTAGCAATGTAGGTTATTCTCAAACACTAAGTTAGTTATGTGCACCATCTGACATACATGATTAACCCGTCTGGTCTGGGCTCGATGTTTGCATGATTTGCTTTGTGTGCATGACGCCATTCTTCTGAACCTGAACTAGGTTCTTGCTCGGTATCTCTTCAAGTTATTCTACATATATTTTTGTTGACCCTACCCTGCCGCCTGCTCCACCATTCGCAATGTATGCGATCAACAAGTAAGCAACGCAGTTATATTGCTAGCATAGGGAGTATTTGACATTCTCACAGCAGAGCGTACGGTCTGGATACACATTTTGATAAATTGTGGCGGCGAATAAACGATAATGCCCATCCGAAATCGCTAGAGTTCTACGAACATGCAAGTCAAGCGAACTACCCCATTGAGAATGTCGCAAAACTGGAGAAGTTTATGGACTCACTTTCCATGACATCCAAGTCTCAACCATTATTGCAGACGGAGAGGCTTTTAAAAATAATTGCCGAATACCCTGAGGATGTGGTCAATGGCGATTACACGTCCTCAGACGTGAAAGTATTCATGACACACGTCGTAGACACTTCTTGGCTCGTAGCTGCCAAGGCTGCAGTGCAGACTCTCGGGATTATACTGAATACACTATCGGATGATGTACTCTCCCTCAACGACGAGATGCTCTATTGGGACAGCGTTTTGGAATCCCCCTGGTCACTAGGGCTTTATATGATCCAGAATTCACCAGTGGTGCTTTGGAGCCGATTTCGAAAAGCCTGGCGCCATGCTAACTCTACGAACAACCGCCGGACGCCCGGCCAAACCGGTTGGATGAAATTCTACGAATCTGTTCGTCAGTGCATCCTTCCACAAAGGTTGCATTTTTGGCGGGGAAGGATGTTATCACCACTCTCAATAGCGAAGTCAGATGTACGACAGAAGCGGAAGACCCTGAGCTCATTGAAGGATATGAACGCTAGTAGCATCGGGATCCTCATAAGGAAGAGTTTCTCCCGCGAAGTGGGCGATAAATATTCAGGCGACGATAGCTATGGCATGTTTAATGAGAGCTGGCAGGTCAACGTTCTTGAGGGTGTGGCTTTGATGAAATTGCTCCTCGAAGATCCGGAAAAGGAAAGTGCCACATGGAATTACGAAGAGCACATAAACATGGCGATCAATCAAGAAGTCTCGTCGATGCGCATGCATTACTGCAGTGGTCTATCCTCTGAGGGTCCGAGATTCGTCATGAGCCAATTGGGCTATATACTTGAAAAGCTTCTACCGGCCTATGCTAAAGCTTCAGCCACAACAATCAACAACGCCGGTCGCCCTCATTACCTAGTACGTTTTTGGTTACCCTTAACCCTTGCACTATTTTCAACAAGTACATCACTGGAGCTTTTAAGGAATAAACGCCATGAGCTCTTGGAATGGGTTGCCAATTTCGGTTCAACCACGATCGAGTTTTGGAACAATTGGGTTGTAGACCCAATTCACAGGCTTATCGGAACTATAAGGCATGATGAAAAGAGTGAAATTGCACTGATGAGTAGAAACAGCTTGGAAGCCGATCGAGCGAGTCTGGAAAGGATGGTTGTGGACTTCATTCTTGATCGTTGTGAACCGAACAAAAATGATTATGATGCCTTTGATACTCATGTCATCACGGCTAAAGTTCGGGAAGGTGACTTGACACCAGTGCTGAAAGCATACGAAAATGACCTACGTAGTCCCTTTGTTGGGACCATTAAGGGTGATTTGGTGCGAGCACTTCTAATACAGATACAGAAGACTAAAGTAGATGTTGAGATTGCGATAGGGGGAATTGACGCTCTGTTGAAAAGCCAAGAGCTGGTTTTCGGGTAAGAATTCTGGCCAGGAATACCAGGGTAGGCATTGACTTTTCACAGGTTTATTGGACTAACCCCAGGCATAATGGTGTCATATGCGACTCTTCGTTGGCTTTACAGCTTGCTTGGCAGTCGAAGGGGCTTGCGAACGGGTAAGCAGCAGGACCAATTGAGGCATGCTTTGCGGTAAGTTTTGGCCTAGCTTAAAGGAACAATTCAATCCAGGCCTAATTATTGCTGTAGGGTTGTCCATCGGACTTTAACATCATCTGTCCCCACTTCTGGCGATACCCTCGCGTTTAGAGACTATGGTCTCCTCATATGCAATGCTGAAGTCCTACTTTCAAAGGCGCGGACCATACTGAAAGGCGCAGATCTCCGCTCATTTCAGGAAGACATTAATGAATTAGTCGAGCGAGATACAATTGACCGGCAACTCAAGGTTGTTGAAAGAATGGGTTGGGTATACTCAAGATGGATCTGATGCAATCCTGGATGCTCACTTACTGGGGCACCTTTCTGCATTGCATAAATTTTTCGGTGGATGATATGTTGCGTAGCTTTTGGCTCTGGCTGCTGACAATATATTCCCGACGAAATCTCCTGTATTATCTCTTACATTCTGCCTTAGACGTATTATTGAACAATAATAGAACATCCTGGTGGTGCAATTCACACCAAGCATATGTACAGATAAGCTCACTTCTAGGTCTATGGTCAATCCGAATTTAAGACCGCGTGAACTCTTGTGTCCAATGTTGTTGTTTCAATACTCGAGAGTGTGATCAAGGTCAAAGGGAAAGTGAATTGGGTGCAAAGGGGCATTAATTCTCAATCTTTATCAAGAAGTACTCTCATATCTATTGCTGTCCGCCATGTTTGAAACACCTGACTCGAGCCACAACATCGAAAATAGTTTAAAGAAGTATAGAAGCTGATAATTAGTACTTTTTATCTGTGGGGTGCGCTTGGGTAGACAGAACGATACTAGGCGATTACACAGGTGCCCGGGATACTACTCCGAACATGCACTCACTGTACGTGCATACTGCTGCTAGCTTCCTAATAATAAACCTCAAAGCAATTAGATCACAAAGGTAAGTCCGCGTTACTATTGTCTTCGATTGAGATTATCCCTCTGGCAACTTTCCGAAATCCAACGTGTCCAACGTCACCGATTCTTACTTCAACACAACGTCTCCGATACAACACCTGTCTTGTCCCGTCCCGTCCCCTGACCCCATTCTCCGGACCGGCTCCTGGTTCCGTGGAAGATCCTGAATCCAGCACCTGCCACTATTCGAAGACGAGCTTTCTTGCTGTCAATATTATTGACAGAGCCAAGCAGATAAACTCAGTGAAGTGAAGCTTTGGTTCCAGTCAATACCAAATTGTCGAGAAACCATAAGCGGGACCGGAAGGGATAGGAGAAAAGAGAGGGGGCACGCAAGTCCAACAGAGGGAGAGGGGAGAATAACGTCAGACCCAACTAAGACGATTATCGAGTAGGGGCCAGCACAACGCAGAACTTGAGTCACTATCACGGCTATTATCCCTCGCCCTCTGTTTACCTCGAGTCTGCAACAACAAAGATGGCTGGTACAAGGAACTACGACTTTCTGGTAAGTATTGACTAAACTCCCAAGAAACCATAAGCTAAATGTCGGTCTTTGTAGATCAAGTTACTACTTATTGGGGACTCTGGGGTGGGAAAGTCATGCTGTCTATTGCGATTCAGTGAAGACTCGTTCACTCCGTCGTTCATTACTACCATCGGAATCGACTTCAAAATACGTACCATCGAATTGGACGGTAAAAGAGTAAAGCTCCAGATATGGGATACAGCTGGGCAAGAGCGATTTAGAACTATCACTACTGCTTACTACAGAGGAGCCATGGGCATTCTTCTTGTATACGATGTCACTGATGAAAGATCATTCCAAAGTGAGAAACGCCTTCCTTAAACCCGAGGTGGGTCATAAGATAATTTGATGCTAATGCCCAATCACCTTAGACATTCGCACCTGGTTCTCAAATGTCGAACAACATGCGAGCGAAGGCGTTCACAAGATCCTTATTGGCAACAAATGTGATTGGGAAGAGAAGAGGGCTGTGTCAACCGAGCAAGGGCAGCAATTGGCTAATGAGCTGGGAATACCATTCCTTGAAGTATCGGCTAAGAACAACATCAACATCGAGAAAGCGTTTTATGATCTCGCATCCGACATCAAAAAAGGAATGGATACGTCGAAGTCTGAACAGGTCGGCTCTCAGGGCGTGAGCATAGACCAGCAAGGTTCCGGGTTGAATGGCAGCGCAGGTGGGAAGTGCTGTTGAATAGATAGTGCACCCTCATTTGGTCTTCGGGTTATATCTTTCCATCATGACTCTATGTCTTTGCGCGTTACAGGTTTGTGTCATGGCTTCAGTACATCATTACGTTCACGGTTCGAATAGATGCTGGGAAGCTAATTGGCTGATTCTGCTCCTATCCTATGTATGTTGATAATGATGGCAGGGGCTTATGGTTTTCGTGATTGCCTTTATCCTTCTTTCTGTTCTGTCTTGGGTTCTCATCCATTTACTGCGATCGAACTTTCCCAGGTGGCGTTATTCTGTTATATTCATAACTGTGCAAATGATATTAGGTATGGCCATAAACAGTCTTCTGGAAGTGCGGTATACATCACCCTCCAGAATCCCCTTATAAACATGAGGAAACATGGGGCATGTCCGTTTTTAAATGATCTTGGCAAGAGTTGAAGGCAGCCGGAGAGTCAACCCTGATGGTGATTGTATTACAAATCGAATATGTTGAGTAAGAAGAGCACCAAGGTATTTGAGCATCACCACACTAGGAGCGTTACCAAAAGCACTGGCAAATATAAAAAAATGGAGGAGGATCATACACTAACTTAGTCAAAGATAATTGTGCAACAAGCGACTTGGACAGGTAGAAGGAAGAACGCTTGGGAAATGTGTTAGTAACGTGCACTTTTTTGTGAGCTAGTCTGCTCTGTACGGTTCAAGCACATCTCACTCAGTAACTTGATATAGCACTGACATTGCCATTCTGCCATTGCACAGGAAAGAATTTACTATCTTGTGGTTGGAGACATGTGCGGCCGGTATAGTAGACCACGATCTATCTATTGTATCTTCTGCTCCTCTCCAAGTGGGGCTGTGTGGATATCCATCTGAGATGGCCCAATATTTGCAAACACATTATGGCGTACAGATTTTTGTCGTAACTCTGAATTCCCATCCTTTTCCTTTCCACTTCGTATTGATCAGTAAAGTTGATATCAGCAACTTGCATGAAAGAGCCTTCCACATCCTTGTATTGGTTTCCCGTTTTCAGATCTTCACATCTTTTTCAAACCGCTTTTCTCCAGTATTCGCACTTAGCAGCCAGCTTCTTACTAACGCCTTTCTCAGACTACCAAATTGTAAGTCAAGACAGTCAAGATCCTCAAACAAGTCAAATTTTATCGCTTCCGGTGTCTAGAATTTGCTTATAAATGGATCATTACGCAGGTCATGGTACTGTGAATAGCAGGCGTGCGCTGCTGCAGTAGTGGAAACGCGGGACATTAGGCGTCACTTTGGAGGGGCATTCAGCTACCGCTAAAAAATATGTCCGAGCCTCGAGCCTTCACAGTTCGACCGCTGTCAAAGCAAACCAGAAGTGATCATAGAGATGCCTTTCGTGTTTATCTCTCGTCCTCGTCCTTGGCATTTTTAAAACTCAGAGCTGGAGACGTGTGCAATATTAGTCTCGCCGGCGGACCATCGAAAACAGCAATAGCTTGGAACGCGACCGAGAATATCCAAAATACGGTTGTACAGACCTCGAGAACTCTTCAGGAATGCTATGGAATCAAAATTGGGGAGAAGATTACAATATGCAGGGTCGACGGACCCCTGAATAAGATCGACACAGTCTCCATTATAGAGTGTTCAGATAGTGATAGGATTGCAAAATACGGCGCGATTCCACCCTCTGACTTAATCCACTGGTCATGGTCTTTGGAGCTGCCTCTTCTGAAATGCGATGGCATTGCTGTTGGCCTAGTATTTGAGCTAGAGCTTAGGAGCCAACGCCGAAGCTTCAGAGTGGCAGATATCTCAAGTCAAGATGGAAGTACTACGTGTACTCTTTTCAGATTTGCTGAATCCAGTGAGATCATAATGGGCGAAGATCTTAAAAAACCTCTAGAGCGTGGAACTTCCAATATTCAAGTGCGACCTACTGGGCTCGGAGGGATGGACCGGCAAATTGAAAGTATCAATGAAAGTCTCGCTGACTTTAACCCTGGTCTGGTCAATCTAGTAATGCCTTCATTCTATGAACATAGTCGAGGCATTCTTCTTTACGGTCCCAAGGGAACAGGTAAGACAGCGCTTCTGGAACAGATTAAAGCAGCAGGATGGAGGCAAACATTCCATATTGGATCCTCAGCCTTTGGCCGCAATATCGGGGACGCCGAATCCAAGCTGCGCAACGTATTCCAAGAAGCGATGCGCTGTCAGCCCAGTGCAATCCTAATTGACCAGGTGGAGTTTATTGCGCCTAGACGGACATCGCTCGATAGCCAGTCGTTGGCATCGGTTCTATGCGAATGCATTGACGCTACAAAGAATGCATTCATTCTAATAGTCGCCGCAACCCGTCATCCGAATGATGTCGATGATGCCCTGAGGACCCCGCATCGACTGGCAACCGAAATTGAACTGCATATTCCGACAGCACATGATCGAGCCCAAATATTACGTGCCATATGTGGAGGCCCATCCCCGGCATTGAGTGATACCCTCATAGACATGATAGCGGAGAAAACACACGGTTACGTTGGTGCCGATCTTTTCGCTTTGCTTCAGTTAATTAGTCGCAAGGCACGGCAAAGACAGATGTCGGAATTTGAGCTTCGTGTTAGCGACGAACGCACACCTTCCGATAATGCTGTTGAAGGTCCGATTACTCAGGAACCAGGTACAGCTATACATATCAAGGAAGTTGATGTCTTATCAGCTTTACAGGAAACTCGGCCTACTGCTATGCGGGAAGTGTTTCTGGAGACGCCCAAGGTCAGGTGGTCGGACATTGGTGGACAGCACGAAATTAAGAGACGTCTACAGAAAGCAGTGGAGCGTCCATTGAAGGTAAGCGCGCACCTTCGGACTATGTTATTTCGGTTCTGACAAGACCAAGCATCCTGAGCGAATGAGGAGGCTTAATTTGACCAGCAAGAAAGGTGTACTTCTTTACGGGCCACCTGGGTGCTCTAAGACGCTGACAGTGAAAGCACTGGCCACGGAGGCAGGGCTTAACTTCCTGGCAGTCAAGGGAGCCGAGATTCTGAGCATGTACGTCGGAGAATCTGAGCGAGCATTACGAGAAATCTTTCGAAAAGCTCGCTCTGCAAGGCCGAGCATCATATTCTTCGATGAAATAGATGCTATCGCCTCTAAACGTGGCACTTCATCACAAGGCGGAGTCAATGTTCTTACAACCCTTCTCAATGAAATGGACGGCATCGAGGAGCTTAAAAGTGTCCTAGTTATCGCCGCCACGAACAAGCCTGAAGTGATAGACCCGGCGTTGATGCGCCCCGGTCGACTGGACAATATACTTTACATAGGACCTCCCGACTACGAGGCGCGGAAGGAGATTTTGGACATATGGTTCCGCAAATCTGTCATTAACCCGGAAGTTGAGGTGGATGTGTTGGCCATGAAGACTGACGGGTATTCGGGGGCTGAGATCGTGAGCATATGTGAGACAGCCGGTGATGCTGCTTTGGATGCGGAAGAGGAGACTGGCCAAGCACAAGATATCCGATGGGAACATTTCGAGTATGCGCTCAAGCAGGTGAAAAGACAGATAACGGCTGCTGTTGTTGAGGCGTACGAACAGTGGGGTGACTCTGTTGACATATGAGCACAGCTTTTTTTATGTAGATACTATATAGCGATGCGATCATTCCGATTCGGAAGTACTAGACCACTTTTCACGGAGCCGCTGTTGTTCAACCGGCTACTTTGAAGGTTGCTTCCGCAGAGTTTTGTTCACACTGTGGGGCCTCTTTTGCTTGAACAAAAGAAAAGCAAATAAGAAGAAATGAAAAAGAAAGCAAAGAAAAAGGAGAATAATGTTTTAGCTTTGGTTCTTGATGTGCAGGGGGCTAGGATAACAAACATTGGACCCGCCAGCGTATCGGAGGAGGCACCCTACCTGGCGCTGACCCTCATACATGACACAAAAGGCTGTCAATACCATCTACTCTGCAACTTTTGATCCGTCTTGGGCAACCCCACTCACTATCAGACCTCCCATGCGTCTCGCTCCCTTGGGATTTCGCTTATCCAGTCTTAATTCTTGCTACAATCAATTCAGCTTGCCCCTGGTTGATTTATAGGAAGCTTCCTCCACCAAGTGGATCTTGTAGGATGCCAGAAAGATACACTCGGGGTCGCTCTCGTGCCCGTTTGCCATCCTATTCGGAATTTGATCGGGCCCCGTCCTTGCAGCGTTCTTTGTCTCCTCACTCAGAATCAAGATTCAACACTACACCTCGAACTCGTTCTGTGGAGCGTGGCGCTGTCCGTCGCAATGCTCACCGTTCCAGAAGCTGGTCGCGATCATCGTCGCACAACCAAGCACCATCCCGTAGTCGAAGCCGAAGTGAAACTCCCAGACGTTACAGGAAAAAAGACTACAGCCGGACTCCGAGTCCCTCTGCCGATGCTTCAAGAAGCTCAAAGGTCGGTTGAGCTCCCATTGAACCAGGTTTTAATGCTGAAACTAATGGAAATCAAAGATAGTTATCGAAAAGTTGACTAAAAATGTCACCGAATCACATCTCCGGGAGATATTCGGTGGTTTTGGCGACATACAAAGTCTTGATCTCCCTATGAATAAAGCTTGTAAACTCTCTAGACTTATGCTCTCCTAGGTGCCTAGGCTGACGCCTCACTAGTCATGACAAACAGGGGCACCGCATACATACTTTACCACGATCCTGCGGATGCAGAGGCGGCCATCGCGCATATGCACGAGGCTCAGCTAGATGGTGCCATGCTGAACGTGTCGATTGTTCTTCCTAGGAGAGCCTTCTCTCGCTCACCACCACCAGTTCAACATAGCAGAGGAAGCTTTGGCCGTCCAGGACACGGCCGCGGACCTCCGTCGGATAGTCGCGCTCCAAGGTCGCCGCCACCCGCTAGGAGGTATCGCCGTTCTCGGCATATGGAAAGGCATGACATCTATAGGCCTCGCTCTCTGTCGCGCTCCAGGTCGCCACGCCGTTCTCGATCCCTTTCTTCCAAGTCTCTCTCAAACTCCCCACCGCCAAGACGGACACATTCGCGTATGGACAGCTCTCAGCGTCGCCGTCGCCGTAGCCCGAGCTACAGCAGCTATGGCTATAGCAGTCGCAGTGATAGGGACCGGAGTATGAGTCCAAGAAGAGACCATCATTGACCCAGTCTTCCTTCAAAGATATTGTCTTTGTGTCATTTGAAAGTCTCGAGAAGATATCGCATCAAAGCTACTGTTCTTGGCGCTGCTCAACTACCTGGGACTGGTATGAGTGATTCTGGGGTGCAGGCCAATGGGCTTCTACACATGAATCAAATTGAAGTATTTCCGTATAACTATTAATGCAAAGATACGTAATCACGGGAGGAACTTAGGCAACCCAAGTCGTCTCCATCCCAGGTCCAGCAATCATGGACCACCCAGAACCAGGGCCAGTGTCTTAAAAGGACCTCTAGAAAAAGGCGCACCAGCCAATATACATAGCAGCTAGATTCCTTACATCCGTTGCTTGTACAATTAGTTCATCTACGTGACCGTCCACCGAAAGTGGGACGGATTCACCGGGTAGAAGGCCGCGAAGTTTGTTGCGGACATTCTCTAGAACACCGGCAGGTGTCTCTGGTGCATTGACATGTGTACGTCGCTTCTGTCTATCAGCAACGCGGGTCTTCTACATTCTGGGTGGTGGTGGTGCCTACCTTCTTCCCAATGAAATCCGTGGTAGGGTCATGCAGAAACGTCTCCAGAACTGTCATGAGTGCGTCTTCGTTATGGCGAAGTAGTCCAAGACTTATTTCACATGTCTTGCGGAACGGGCCTATCAATGGGAATTAGCTAATGGACATTTCATAGATTGATTAGATCGAACCATTGTATCCATAGACACCGAACGCATCAACCATGTTTTGGGTCAGACGAAATGGGACCAGTTCAGGTATATCAAATGTTAATCCCTACTTATGTCAGCCTAGAAGATGATGAAAGGCAGGCTAGTTCTGGGCCTTGGGTGCCTAACCTTGTCAAAAAGACAATTGAAATCAACATGTAAAACACCCCCTGTACCTTCCTCGAACAATATGTTTTCACCATGTCGATCACCTAACCTGCAGAAAATGAGATGAAAGGAAAACAGTAAAGGGTGAACTAACGAACCCTAGGACATGTCCAACCATGGACATAACAGCACAGGATCGAGTATAACGAATTCTGGCGGCAAACCACGATCCTGCTTCAGGAAACATTTCAATGAACCATTCGTACAGAACTGGAGGAAACCTGCAACGAGGTCAGTTCTGGAATGGAGCTCACGAGAATGTGTGTTTGGAAAACTTACTTTGCCAAGATTCTGGTTGTAAAAAGATGGAGTTTTGAGTTATCGGAGCATGCTTCGTTGAGGTCGTGTCTGATCTCATTATACTGTAGTAGAATTAGTTCAGTAGCTGTATGGCTATCCTTAAGTTGAAAAGCTTACGTTTGGTGCGATGCCCCTCTCTCTTAAGAGCTTGATAACAATGTCCCTCAAAGCCCGAAGGTTGTCAACCCATTCGATTAGCCCGCATTCTTCGTTCAGCGGTGTCACAGCGTATGTTTTGATATCTACCACAGTGATCTCTTGGTCAGAAGGTAGCGGAACAAAGAGCAAATGACAGACGTTTGACTACTTACACATCCGGCGTTTGCTCGATTCCACATCCTTCTTGAAGAGCCGATTGATCATATTATTGAATTCCATGAGCCGTTGATCTTTGCGCAGGTCATCCTTGGGTTTGCACAGAATATTGTACATCTTTCCATCTGAGCCCCGAATTCCTATTCTTCGTGGCTTCTGGAGAGAATTCAAAACCTGCACATCGTCCATTATGGCTAATACGAGTCAGTGAGGTTTCTGTAGAAGCCAATCAAGGAGCGTTACCTTCAATGGTCGTCGGATCCCTAGGGAAGGCCCTGAAACCTTTCAAATATTCAGGTTTATGGCTTGCTGGTAGCGTCGGTGTTAACATTGCCTGGAACGGCACCACAAGCCTACAAGGTGCTACTTTGTGACTAAATTTCAAATCACGAAGACTGACTCTAGCGACTTTGTCTTCGATGCGAGCTATACACAGCCTTAGCATTTCCTCTGAAAACTTTTGTCCTTGATTTATCATGCCACGCATATCCGACAATGGCTGATTCTTCAGTTTCTTGTTTACTTCCTGCTGTGGATTAGAGCTTGAACCATGATATGATGCAGATTTCTTTCCTTGACCTACCGTAATTTTCTGCAGGCAGCTTATTCCTCTGGATGCCCGGTCTTTGGAAGAGGACTTTACCACTGCGAGGACAGTCCATAGCCCTTGCTGGGGAAATGAGTTAACCGCCCGGGCTACGATCTTGGTTAATAAGTCGTATACCGTCGTATTCGGGTGACATATCCTAGCAACGACTTGAGGGAGAATCGTGAAGAGCTGTCTCTAGTTAGCAAGTTTTATATGATATCTGAACTTCTAACCAACCAGCGCAGCCGGAATTCTGTTCACGTATTTCCTGAGTTGTGTATGCATATCATCAAGGCTTTTTTTTCGCTGATTCAGAGTGTGCTTTTGAAAATCTCTTTAAAAACGCCCGGATTATCACGGTTAGTACGTAAATCGAATCGAAAGGGGACGGGAGCTAGAATGTTTAGAGCTCGAAGAAAACCAATCCTTACTCACTCGTTGTCTCCTCTCTTTGGATCAAACGGCTGGTCGACAGTAGATGCATGTTCTAGCCAGAGTGTCAAGATTTTGGGCAAGGACTGAAATACGTATTTGTTTCCATGGGCCAATGATCGGAGATAGTTGTCAACGACTAGTTTTGAGGCCTCGCCACTCAAGCTGTATAAATATGAGCCATTGCAAATTCTGTTTGTTATGGATAGGAAGACCGACTAAATCTGTGCTTCTCTCCCCAGTGGCTTTGCTTTCTCCAAATCCAGAATTTTGTTGTAGTGCTTGCCTAGGTAGTAATGGGCCTTTTCCCACCTAAGAACCAGTTAGCTTCGACTTCAAAACACTTGCCGTACCTTTCTGGGACACGGAGGCTACCTAGGGTGAAGCTTTATAGCTTCCCTGTATCTCTGGACAATAGCATCTGACTGTGTTTGCCCTGCCCTGTCTGTCCATTTGGCCAGGAGCAGATGTGCCTATATTTTATGATTGAGTTAGAGCATGTCAGTAGCCTATGGATGGTGACGTACTCGAGCCAAGAGCATGTTTTGATGTTCACCATTGTTTGTAATTAGTGATGAGGTGCGTTCTTGAGATGAGGTTGTCTCTGATGAAAACTCATTAGCAGCGATTGCGCCTTCCAGTGTTTGTATTGCCTTTCGGTGATGACCATCTTTCCAGAGCAGTCGTGCATGCTCAATAGTGGCAGATCTATCATTCAAACGAGCCGCATGGAGCATCGATTGGTATGCTTGATTGGTAAAGTTGCTTTTGCGCGACAAACGTGCACTGGTTAGCCAAGCAGCGGCTATGTCAGAATCGGTAAATTCGTTTCTTACGGCTTTATCAGCATATAAATTCAATAGGTTTATAGAAAAAGAAGAAGAAGAAAAAAAAAAAAAAAGGAGGAGCGACATACGTTAGCTCCATGGTGGCCCTTCTAAGACCTAGGAGGTATTGCTTATCAGAGATGTAGCCCCCAAGGATATCCAAACGTCGATCCAGTATATCAGGTAGCTTTGAACGTGAGTCACTGCTTCCACAGTCCTTAATTTTAGCGCGAGCTATGGACTCCACCTCGTGTAGAGTGTGTAGCTTGAGAATGCTATCATGGCATGACTGCAATGATACCACGGAGTTAGCTGTTAGGGACTTGGCCACACTCAGTCGTAAGGCCTCCATATGTTCCCAAAATTCCGTATACTTGCCGTGCCGGAAAGCATTGAGAGCCAATCCGATCTCAATATTGAATTCGCCTCTACCCAACTGCGAGAGCTGCTGGAGATACTCATTTAGCTTTCCCCAATTACTTGTGATCCAGGTCGCTTCTACTGCGAAAGGCAGAAACTTTCTAGATGAACTATTTGCTTTCAAGATCTCGAACCGCGTGAGAATGGCATCTGAGAATATGTCAGCAGGCCGGCTAGACTGGTCTTGATTAGGGCGATACCTTGTTGTCCAGATTCCTTAAGACATGCGAGTAAATTCCATTGCGCCTCGCTATTATTTGGTTCTTTCTCAAGTTGCAACTCATACCAGCTTTGCGCGGTAGCCCACCTACCCGCCTTTCGATGCTCAAGTACCTGCTGATCGATGTTTAACACGTGCAGATGGCTTGAGATTCCCTCGATACCGTCTGGTTCATCTATTCGACTGTAGATATCTTGTAATCGCTGGTATAGAGGTTCGACGACGGCGCCTCCTTGCTTAGAATGCTGGTTTTTCCACTGTCTGATGTACTGCTCCCAATGGAACAGAGCCCGTGAGAACGATTTGCACTCAACAGCCCTCTTGGAGATGACTTCCGGAGGTATTGAGCTCAGAAGTATCTCCACAGCCTTGGCTTGCGAATAGTAGGTGTCTAACAGAGCATCGCGAGATGCTCCCTTGTGGGCACGATTTGAAGGATGGCTGTGGTTTCTGAGGCCATTGATCTGTTTCTTTTTGCCCTGTAGCCACCTTGAAAGGTAGTCGAGGACCTCGAAAATGCTCTAAGTCGAACAGTGAGAGAAAATTCAATGAGCCCGTGTGAACGAATGGAGAGACGATACTCACCTGACTACACAATATGATGTTTTCATATACATAGTCGTGTGTGTCTGGTAATGGGTGTGACAGGACATTCACTAGTTCGCAGCGTAGATCTTCTTTCTCTTTTGCACTCCCAGAAACCGTTCGATTAAGCACCGCGAATGGCAACAAAAAAGATGCTATTGAGATGTCTTGGCCTTTCACAATGCGGCTGCAAACACTAAATACTAATTTCGCATTGTCACCGTTTCCGGCTTGCAATAGATCTTGCACAAAGCTTCGTAGCCAGTTGCCATGTGTCAGCCCAGCTGTGAACAAGGGATAGCTGCAGTTAGTGTTGAGAGTCCCAATGGTAACTGTATACTTTGAGGTAAGAAAAGGAGCTAGAATGTTGCGAACAGTTTCAGGTAGCTCTAGCCAGCGTTGATATTTCTCATCGGCTCGGAAGTCGCGCGATCGATTGGCCACAGCTGAATCGAGACCGCAGAACCTGAGTAGATTCTGCATCGCATATGCAAGGAATCCTTGAGCCCTAGTATTTGAAGCTGACAGGAACGTCTCGACTAGAACGTTTTGAAGGAAGAAAAGTATGAAGTCAAAGGTCTCTTCCATGCTGTCGAAGTTGGACAAAACCAGCATCACTTTCTTTTCTTTGACCGTGTCCACTCGGTTAGGGTCAAGACAGCCGATCAAGCCTAGGCATTCAGCTGATAGCTTGGTTATAACATCCGAGCTAGTGTTGAATTTCACACAACAATCAAGCAATGACCGTGCTAACTGTGCAACAACTGGATCTGGAATCTCACTGAGAACAGACCTATGAATGAACTCTTCATTCTGGGAGAGATAAGGAACTAGCTCACGCAAGGATTGCTCAACAACTGTTGCAGTATCGCTTTGACAACGACGAATGAATGCGAGGAAATGGCTTCGTACATCCATCGTCTCTTTCATGCTATTCAGCGTGGCTTCATGCTTGTAAAGTATCGGAATTGAAGCCAGTGAGGGCATGGTGTTGAAAATATCGCGTACCAACTCATAGTGTGACTGCATGATGTATTCAACGAGTTCGCACGCTTGTTTCCTTGTATCTTCGTGGAACATGTCCCAGTATCTGATTACAATTGATAGTGTCTGATCGATGAGAGGCTCAACTTCCTCTTCTTGTAGGGAACTGATCAGTACTCTCCAGACGATAAAAGCGTTGTTACAGAGCTCCTGAATCTCAAGAGCGGCTCGTAAACATGCGCATATCTATCTCACTTTAGCCTACTTTTGGATCAGAACATATGAGCTTAGTTATGCACGAACCTGTGGTAAGGCGCTACTGATATGACCGCGAGCAACCTTTATCATCTCTCCAATCGCTGCAATGTTCCTTTTTTTCTCAATCAGAGGTTGTCTGATTTGGAAGTCATTCACAGCATGTGCGAATTGTGTGATTATTCCGAGAACATGCTCCTCAACGAAGTACCCTATCAAATTCGCTCGTCTTGGTGTGGGACCTGACTTTCGTGGAACAAGGATGGCTAAATGGTGAAGTGCCCGGAGAAACTACAATTGCTTCATGTCAGCATCGATCGCCCTGTGGCATTGCTAATGACTTACCCTCTTGCCTTTATCCTCCCCTAAATCGCCAAGTCCTTTGAGTAGGTCACAGGCAATCAATATTGGCTCAATCCTCAAAAGCTCAGCCAAAGTACGGCCCCTAAAGGCAGAATCAACCTCCGATAAAGCGGACATGACAGATTCTTCCAGATTCGGCGATGGTTGGCTCAGCAGAAAAGCGAGTATGGATGCGAGATTGTTCTTCTCTGAGCAGATATCGAATGGTGTCTTGGCGTCCTTGTACGTTGCCCCGACTCTAATGATCACATCGCGCTTCCGGGTAAGCACCAGATATGGAAGGACATAGGTCTCAGTCAATCTAAGAAAGTCATCCACTTTCATACCCAGGAGGTCGCAGAGCTGTTCTGCCATGTAGGGACGAGACTGAAAATTTCTCACGACGGTTACCGACAAGGTCCTCCAAAAAGGCCGAAACAAGGCGGCCGGAGTGACAGAAAGATGCTGTGCAAGCCCTGCGAGCTAAGTTCTGTCAGATAATGATCTAATGTAGTCACATGCGGAAGACAGCATATGATCACAATGTCAGGCTTCACACATACTTCGGTATAAGCCACCGCGCCTATAAACGGGTTCGAGTGTCCAAGGTACTCTACCAGACGAAGGAGTATGATATTCATCTCTTCGTCATTGGAGAATCTATAGATATGAGATATCTCAGCCAATACACACAACTACTTGGAGTAGGATCAAACTCACTGCGCCAAATGACATAGAGTAAGGATGCAGGTCTCATGTAATGGCGTCTCCTGTTTCTGAGAGAGATTCTGCAACCAGTCCAGAATGACAATGAAATTACTTCGTCGAGTTTCGTGGTCAAGATTTCTACGAACGAAGGAGGTTATTGAATGTCTGATGGTTGTCAGCACTTCGAAGTTACAACAGATCCCTGATGAAAGATACCCTGTAGAAAGACGTAGCTCTCGGACAGAACTTCTGAGAGAATTCAAGCAAAATTCCCCGAAAACAGAAGATGTTAGCTGCATATGAGCTGACTCGGAAGTATGCATCAACGTTCTTCTTAATGCAACTGTCGCAGCTATTCTCAGGTTCGCAGTCCGTGAAAGATTCGAAATGATGTGATCCAGGATCTGGCATAGTTCATCGCTCTTGACAGTTTGCGAGTTGCTTTCTGATTTGAGGTCACGACATTTGGGGTCACAGATCCTACAGGTGAAACTGTCCTCTGAATCAACATTTTTGATATCCGTCAGGTTTCCGGACAATGCACAGGGTATAGTGCACAAAACACATAAGAGTCTTAGTTTGTCCTGCTCAGATAGACCAATGTATGACGTTCTTTGCGTTATCAGTCAACAATTGAATTCATGGGGACAATGCATGTCAACTTACGCAACCGCACAGCTCAGATCTCCCAGGGTCCCACTCTGGTCACAGCGGAGTAGCTTAAGTGACTTGGCTATAAGCCTCTGTGCCACGTTTCGGCTTTCTCTGTCGGCATCCAGACGCGGGAGACAGCGGCGTTTGGCCATCTGGACGGCTCCAACACGACTACTGGAAGAGTGGCCAGAACCCGGGAATCCGTGAACAGCTGCCAATTCCGGTATGTTCCCACTGCAGAAAGCTGCCTCTGCATCTTTTGCATCGAGAGAATTGTAAACTATGGGACAATGTACGAGGGAACTCTCGATCGCAGCCTAGTTTTGAGGTTAACTAGACGATGGTTATAGTGAGGTCCATATAGATTGATATACCTGAAGACAAGTATCAAATGAATTGAACAATGCGAGCTTACTCTTAACAGGCAATATAGTAGCCCTCATTGATCGCATTATGTCCTTTTCGGATGTGAAAGCATTAGTGAAGCTGTCAATGGCCTGGCTTAGGCTTAGTTGGAGATCAGAAGCCTGATTCAAGATTTCTAGGGCCAATGTCTCTGCGAATATATGGAGGAAAATGCATGCTAGCCTTTGTTTCGGTGACGTATATGGGACATGGTCGCAGAATCTCTTTATGAACCTCAGAAACCGTGAAAAGGTCGGGATTTGGCTTGTAACGTCCTTAACATCTGACTTGCAGTGCCAAAGCACGGTGAGCTTCCACAAACGCCGATATCCATTAGAGAGCCACGCCAAATTCTGTCGTTTGGATGGGATATTGTAAGAAACGTAAGCATTAATTGCAGAGATGAGCAAATTAAGGCATAAATGGACTGCTTGAGCACAGCTCTCAAGTCTGATCAATTTCTTGAAAGATGCACAGCGCAGGCCAAGTCTGTCCAGATCCAAAGTACAGAGCTGCTTCGGATTTACTACAGAGGAGCTGGCCACATGGGTAAGCCGAGCTCGAGACTGATAGGCCTCAAGAGCACTGAGGAGTTCTGGAGAGATCAGTACAGGACTCAGTTGTAGCCGAGGGATTTCACAAACCAGTAGTGCAAGACTGAATCAAAGCAGTTATACCAACAAACGAAGACCATAGCCTCGTATTATTATGTGGGGCATTGAATATACTTGCGAGGATGCCACCGATTCTATCTTCAACAGGCTCACTGTCCCAGGTAGAGAATAAATGGACTAGCCAGACGACTAAACACGAGTACAAGGGCGCCGCTGCATCCTTTCCCAGAAGTTCTGGCTCCGGCATCTCCAAAAGCGCTAATGGGGCTTTGTCAACAGCATTTTGGACGATGTCCAAGCAGTCCAGGAGTTGACCTTGCAATTCCGACCTATCGTCTCTGATACAAGGCTCTAAACCTGCTTTCAACACGATGCAAATCAGTTTCTTAACGTCAGTGATACTATCATTAAGCTGGAGATGACTATATTTCCCCTCGAGCAACTCATGGCGGAGCTGCGAAAATGCCTCTTTAGTCAGACCAGGCGTTCCATCACCCTGTGATGAAAGGTGTGGTACAAGGTTGGCTGCGAGTGTAGAGGAGACTGGCTCCGCAGGATTCCAATCTGCAATCCCAGGAATTGGTAGACGAGACTCCTTGCGCTTATTAGTTGCCATTGGCGATGCCTTTATACATGGTCCTTATTTTGTCCCAGGCCTCGTCGCGCGAAGGTGGTGATCAGACCGGCTTAAGGTCTTCGGAAAGTAATACTCATGTATAATTCAGTGACGCGTAGTACGGTGTAAGTACATGTATGTCTTCCCCACAGCGCAGCCACTCAGGTGTTAAGGTTTCCTAAAAGTACGAGACAATGTGGGTCAAAACATGAAACGTGCTTATCAAATTGGTTATCAAAGTGAATACCCTCAAGTACTAAGTGACATGTTATGTGCACGGTTGCAGAACAGTAATCGTATATGGAGTACTTAGGAAGCGGTCGGGTGGTATCATTACCACATAAGCGGACTTCCGGGCGGTGGGTAAAAAAATGGGGCTTATGAGGCAAAATCCTGGTATCTCTGGACTCGCGGAGGTCAACGTACAAGGAAAGTTTCCTCTTCCGCTTACTGTGTAGAAACAGGTGGGGTGAAAGGAAAGAAAGGGCCAGGAACATAGTAAATTTTGTTTTCATTTTTAGTTATTTTGTACATGCAAAGTGGGAGACACCCCTCGGATGACTTATACGTGTTATCAAGCCTACTCTTGGTGTGCTCGGTGTCAACTATTACACTCAGCTAACCAACCTTTCAGCAACAGTCTTACTACAAGGCCCTTATCCAATTGACGAATGATAAGCGGAGATGTCTGGTGACATGCCATCTGAGTCGCTGGAAAGCAACTCTGAACATGCTTATTTCATGAAGCAGGCGTTATTGATGGTAATTGTATCTTGCCCGAGTGACACTGGAGGTTGGAATTCTTATACTTGCTCTAGGGAGAAAAAGCCCTTGAGACCGGTGAAACCCCGGTTGGCTGTGTTCTGGTGTATGACAACAAGATTGTTGGTTTTGGGATGAATGATACAAACAAATCCATGAATGTAGGTGAGCCAACTGCCTGAACAGTCAATCCCCATGAACACCTTCTCGGAAGTGTCTATGAAATCTGAAATTCTCCTTCCTTGTCTCTTGTGAGAGTCCCCTTCAAAGCAGATCAGACAGTGTTTGTGAAATCTGAACCTATAGCCGGTCTTCTCAGGGTACAAGACATGCCGAGTTTATTGCCATCGGAGAAATGCTTGAGACTTATCCTAGGTCAGCGTTGCGTTCGACAGACCTCTATGTAACTGTTGAACCGTGTGTCATGTGTGCATCTGCCTTGAGACAGTATCAGATACGGAAAGTATACTTCGGTTGTGGAAATGACAGGTTCGGAGGAACAGGTAGCATTTTATCACTACATGCCGAGTTCGTTCTTGCCTTCCCTTAGCCATACACCCCTGACGCAAAACTAATTTATGCTAGTCGCTCAATAGATCCATCATACCCTGTGCAAGGCGGGTTGTTCCACAAGGAAGCTATCATGTTACTCCGGCGCTTCTACATACAAGAAAATGAGAAGGGTAGGTGGCTGGCTTCTGACAGCTGTGACAAAGAAGTCTTTTTAACATATCATTTCGAATAGCGCCCAAGCCCCGCCCTAAAAAGCACCGTGAATTAAAAACAGATTTCAACCAGGAAGTCCTCGTTGCATCCCCTACACCCTGAGCAGGGACAATTGGTCCTTGGTCGAACGGCCACACAATCAAGGAAGCTGAAGGCCGCTAAACACCTTCGATCTCGTGTTGAGGTGATTGAAGTGAAGTCTAGTGGCGGTGAATTGAGGAACATGTTCCATCTAAATTTTGCGTTGCTTCAGGAACTAAATGTACAATATCGCGCAAGAGCCAATGAAACGTCAACGAGGCGATCCTTTTACCACCATTGATATCAGAAAATTCAGGAGCTCGCTTGCTTCAACCGCTCGGCTTCCAGCTCCCGCTCGGCTTGCTGATAGTATTTGGCCGTGTCGACGCCATGCTTGTATTGCAGTTAGTAACCAATTTGGTATTCAGCGCTGATGATTACGTATGAAAGGCGGTCGCTCCTCCATTGCACTTACCTGGTCATGGTTGACTAGGTTGAACCATGGAAGAACATGGATAAATAGCTCAGAGTATCTAGAGTTTCGAGCAGCAACTCCTTGCAGGTATGAGGAGACTTTGGATGTGCCATATAGGGACTCCCCTTTCTTGACTTTGTCCACCATCTCCTTCATATCCATATCAGCTTCCCTCGAATTCTCTGTGAAGCCATAGAAGCGGTCTGTACAAGAGCGTTAGTGTTAAAAAAGATGTAGACCAAAACCATGGTTGCACTGACTGCAGGATCTCTGATAGACCACGTGAAGACCTCCAATAAGGCCAATGGCTGTTGCTAGGCGCATCACAGGAGCGAACCCTCCCCTGCCCACATGGGATGGGCTCACTCTTTCCATAATCCAGAACGCAAGAGGAGACGCAGCGGCCATTCCGCCGCCCACTGCGTAGTCAGAGGGTCGTGCATATCCGAAAACTCGTCTCAGGTGCCTGGTTTGAAAAGTGAGTCAATTGCAATATGGTAACGTCAAGCTAGTCCATACGGGTCGGAGTCAATTAGCTACAAAAGCTCAAGTTAGCCGCAAGATCCGTAAGTCCAAGTCGAATAAAGAACATCGACCCTACCGGGTAGTCCGTATTGGCCCGCTTCGGGGGGACAAGAATTGATTTGTGATCAGTCGCCATTGTGACCGGGCTGGGACGGTGGAGGATGAATTATAATGGACGTTTCTGGATTGGCTTCCACTTCAATGGAGATGGAAGTCGGACGGAGTTGTGCCAAGCACAATGCTTTACCGGTTGTAGACTAGCAAAATGTTCATAATTACAAAGCACAAATAATGCACATATACAGTTATGCCGAAATGGCTGTTATGACCCGTTGTCACGCTAATCCGACCGCCTACCATACTCTGATACTATGATGCTACTGGTCTTACCTTTCCTGGCAAATTAGCTGAGAGCCTGGCACGCGTCTCGAGTGACGCGTAACTTTATCCGTTCACAGCTGTTCGCGATGGTCAAATTTGCGAGTTCCTATCGAAGTATGCGTACTGCTTGCTCGGTCAACAAAAATAAAATCATCTGAGAAGGCTGTAATTTTCACCATTTTTAAGACATCAGGAGGTTCATCGGAAAATGGAAAAAGATGTGGGCTACTCAAACCCATCAATGGATCAGGATGATACATTGTTCGATTATGATGCCGGCTTAGAGGGCACATTGCAAGATATAGCTGTGGATCCCAAGAGGGATGAACCTATTGCTGCACCAGTATTAGGTCTGGATGAAAAGGTCACAATCACTAAGCAGCGACGATTTACAGTCAAGTTGGATGAGAGCCGGTGAGACTGACATCCGGGGTAGCGCTCTGAATACAGGCTTATTGCTTCCTAGGTTACTGTCACACGCCGGAATACCAAAACTCCGCTCTACAGCGAAGTCGAAACTGAAATTCAAAGGCAAAGGGCATGAGGTCTGCTAGAACCGATTTGTATAGTCGCCGAGGGACCACTGCGTGGCTAACTGTTTTTCAAAGTTTTCGGATGCCGCTCGACTCTTAAATTTTTATCAACTATGGCTCGATGATTTGTTCCCTCGTGCGAAGTTCGCCGATGGATTGGCTATGATAGAGAAACTGGGTCACTCGAAACGCTTGCAGACGATGCGAAGAGAATGGATAGACGAGGAAAAGCCGAGACTTTCCGCAGCTGACTCTGAAGATGCGCAACAAGCGAAATCTTCGAGCCCACATACCCATGACAATAGTATGCCTATTGGGCATCTTGAAAAAGCCAACGCTATCATAGGCCGAGGAGATAACGTGGCACAGGCGCCCCCAACACAGGGCCTTGGAGAGCCATCTTCACTTCTGCTAGGAGGCATTCTACCACAGGAGGATTTGTTTGTGTCTGATGATGAAAGTGTTCCAAGGGAAATCATAGAAGAAGGTGCTCTTGAAAATAATGATGATGATGATGATGATGATGATGATGATGATGATGAGCTGGAAGCACTTCTTCGGGAGCACGAGGATGGTTTTATTGGTAACAATAATCTGGCAGGATCAGATATAAGGGCTTGACTCAGTAGGCCTATAGGTAACCTGGGTCCTTTAAATGACATCGATATTTTGAGGATTACAACTACTCAATGCACTAATACATGATTCATACAGTGGGCGAATTGTTTATACATAGCGTAAATTCCACAAGAACGGTCTATGAACCAGCTCGGTCTTTTTTTACTTGTCCTTGCTCCTTTTCTATAGTTTAAGAATGACTTATAAAACATAAAGTACATGTATTATCGGAAATGCCGAGATGCGGCAGATACCAGCATAATGTGCCCTTTCTCTCTCCTTTTCTATTTTCCTTTTTATTCTATTTTCCTCTTCTGCCGTGTCTGCAATGTATTTATTGACTGGTCTAAGCGTAATCAACAATACTGCTAAGACAATTGAAACATGCCCTTGCAATGGACCCATTGGAGACGAATTTGAAGTGCCGGTGTGCCTCCCTTTTCTTCCCTGGCATTAGCTTATAAATTATGCTAATGCTGCAGGCTCTGTGAACACAGAGAATTGACCACCACCACCTGCCCAGTTTAACTTCTTACCACGAACGGCAGTATTCTCGATGACAGTCGCTACTTCGATGTCATCAGGTGTACCTTGGCCCGTTTGATAGGTGGCGGAAAAGCCCCACGACCAAGGACGACCCTCTACATCAATGACGAGTGAATGGTCTGAACCGGCTGCAACAGCAATGGCCTTGACTCCAGGAACAGCTTTGGGATCTATCAAGATACGAGGCCGCCCACGCTCGTCCTTGATGACCGCATCCTCGGCTAGACTATCGATTTTCAGACCTGTCTGGTAGCCATCCAATCGTCCCCATACAAGGCACTCGCCATCATTAGCGATAGCAAGCGAATGATGGGCGCCGCCGCAGATTTGTGTGACTGCTTTTCCAGATAGCGAATCCACGACGGTGGGGTGCACAATCGCAGCTTCGTCATCACCGGCACCAGCCCTGATACCCGTTTCGCCGAAACTGTTCAGACCCCATGCGTAAACCTTTCCAGACTGATGAACAGCGAATGAATGGAAAGCACCACAGCCAATATGCACAATATTCTTCGGCAGGCCAAACTCGCGCGGCTGCAGACCGTTCAGCCTGTTTCGCTCAATGATACGACGGCCCAGTTGGTTTTGCTGACCCGAACCCCATGATAACACAGCACCTTTATCATTCAGTGCTAAGACGTGATTATCGCCACATGCCAGGTGTTTGATTTTCTTCAAAGACGGTATCAGACTAGGCGTATGTTGGACTTTATTGGCGGCATCAAAACCTAAGATACCATCATTGCTCTAAATCGCCTCTTAGCTCAAGCAGCTCTGTATGCAAGGGCGTGCAAAGCTTGACTTACTCTGAATGTTCCCCAACCATAAACTTGACCGTCATCTGTAAGGGCAAAGCTTGAGCTGTCGCCAGCAGCGACTTGAACGAAGACGGTGTCTTTCGGGAAAGCCTCTGACGGAATAGCGGTGGGAGTTGATTCGTAGGGGTTTAGAGCAATGTCATCATCGGATTCCGAGTCTGACCCATTGTTGGCTTCGTCGATATCTTTGTACCCACCATCCCAAGTAGTATCTCTGCCAAGGGCTCCTTGATCGTTGACGCCCCATGTAAGGATCCTGTTATCATACGTAAGCGCAACGCAATGCATGCCACCAACAGCGACCTGGACAGCACCGACACGGTCCGCTGGCAAGTTGGCATTCAACCGAGGCCGCTTCACATCAACTGCATTCTTAGCAGATCCTAGCCCCAACTCGCCTGAGCTGCCTTCACCGCACACATAGACATTTAATCGAGTGGTTGGCGCATGGTTGATGACCACCTTCGGCTTCAGTTTAGTAACCCGGGGTTTAGCAACACGAGCTTTCTTCAAATCGCGAGCAGGAGCTTCATCGATAACTTCTGCTTTCCGCTTCTCACGTCTCGCAGGCTCAGCTTCATGCTTCTTGCTTGCAAGGTTGTCGACTGTTCCACCTTTGGTAGGTGTGGTGGATTTCACGGGTTGTCTCTTGGTGGTCTTCTTGGGCTTCGAAGGGGTCTCTCGCTTGTCAATTGGAACTTTGCGAGCAGTAGTGGTCGTGGCGGTTGTCTTATTCGCTTTCGTTGTTGTTCTGGTGGTTGCCTTTGTAGTTGCTTTCGTAGCTGCCTTCGTCGTAGTAGTTGTAGTAGATGTGGCCCGTTTACCCTTTGCCGTCGCAGCTGATGCCGCAGCCGGCTTGGGTGCGCTTTTCTTGGGTGGCATAGTCACAATCGAACTAACAGCTAGGTCTTGGCAGATAGGCGGTTGCAGTGGGCCACAGGAATACACGGGATCGTATCAGGGATGGAAGGGTTGGAAAGAGGTAGGAGTTACACCAGCGAACCGGGTATTAAGCTGCTAAGAACGAATGGAAAAGGAGGAGAGGGTGGGGGGAGAGCAAACCACCGAAGAGGCGTTGGACGATTGAAAAGCAAAAGGAGCAAGGAAGAAAGGGTGGGGAATGTCGCCCATGCGATACGAGGTCCGGTGTTGTTGTTTTGTTGTTTTCTATCTGATTTTTAGAGCAACACTAAGGAACAATGGCGGCCGTGAAACAGAGAACGCCGCTGTTTCAACACCAATCCAGAAGACGCCTAGAAGTAGTTATATGTTTGGCTAGAAGATTGTCTGGTTATTCACCCCCATGGAGGTTCTTTGTTCCCATTTTTATTCCTTTATATTATATTATATTATTTTATTTTTCGTCTATCTTTGTGCCCTGAAGTATGTAATAGACTGTAGTACCGGCCTAAAAACGCCTGCATGAAGTTGGTTCTCTCCGGGAGCTCAACCCCTTCCATTGCTCGGACATTCTTGACTACTACTAGTAGGGGCTGCTATCTCTCGCCAAGCTGCCATGTGTTGCAGAAGGCAATCCTCGCGACTGTTACTGTAGAACATTCATCGTGACTCCGCTGACAGCCACCTTGGGTTTTGGGCATACCTTCTGTTCTCAACAACAATGGTATGTTTTACGACTCGACATTGGTAGCAGGGGACTCTGCAGGGGGCGCAACCCGTATTCTCCCACACATTATAACGTTCTGACCCAGGGGCGTCCATTTCACATCCCTAGGGTTCAGAGCCGCGTTTGGCTTGCCTTCTTGACCCCGCTTGGAATCTGGGCTCACACTTACTCCACCAGAACCAAGATAGGTTGGGGCGACAGTAACAATGATAGTATCAATGAATTCGGTGTATTCGGGGTTCAAAAGCTCACTCAAAACGGTCCCGCCGCCTTCGATCATGACGCTTTTGATCCCCTCAGATGCCAGCGCACGTAGTATGGCTTCCCAGCGCAGCCGCCAGTTTTGATTGTACTCCATGATACGGAGGTAATCACCCCCGTAGCCTTTCAGCATCATCAACTTCTGCGGGTCAATCCTGGCCCCCGGAGATACCACTACCCACGGCGCCTTGCCTTTCCCTTCTACTGCAGTCCTTAGCATTCGGCAGTCTGGATGTACGGGCCATCGTCCTGTGGGATCGACTACCACTGGCCGCGGTTGCCACATCCTTCCAAGGCCACCGAACCCGCCTGCACCTTCCAGCCTACAGTTTAGCCCGGGGTTGTCTGCAAGCACTGTTCCAACTCCAATGAGGATCGCGTCATGGCGTGATCTGAGATAGTGGGTCATCAGTTTGGCCTCTGGTCCAGATAGAACAGTCTGCATGCCTGGAAGGAGTGATATCTTAGAGTCCATCGACGATGCATAGGATAGGGTGACATGAGGGAACTGGCGTCGATCATTGTGCTTTGGAAGATAAGGCTCAAGAAATTCTATAAAGGTATTGCTGATACCATCAGCCGCTCGCATCCTCACAATGCCATGACCCTTGTGATATTCATAGCCTTCATGCGCCACAAGTTTAACGTCGGGGTTCTGTATCCTCCACTTCGCCGAGACGTTGCGCACGTCCGTCACTGTACAGAATTTCCCCCCAGCTTCAATTAGCTTTTCAGGTTCTTCCTGGAACTTCGTGAAGATCGAGGAAGGCAAATAGCCCTTGACTGCTTCCCTCCGCGCAAACTCCATTAGTCCAGAATTTCGCTTCACTCGGTCAATATAATCGAGATCATGCGAATGTACCTGACTGCTCCCTGGAGTCCTCGCAATTGTCACCGTCGAATATGCTCCTTCAAATTTGACAACTTTGATTTGGAAGTTGCAGATACCACCCTCCCGCACCCTCTTCTTTCGAGGGCGTTTGCCTTCAGGAAGAGGCCGAGTTTCTGACGTACGATGAGTGGGGCGTCGCAGTCGACACATATAATAGTCCGTAGTGCAATGCCCTTCTTTGCTGGAATTAGACCTCTGTTTGACCCATACATTGTCGATGAACGGCCAATAAGTCTCAAATTCCTCCAGGCTGATCTCTATGGGATCCTTGCACTCGAACATTACTTGGCGTATCCGTGCAAGATTTGGGGGATTGTTGATGAGGTTGTGGTTCGTGGCCGAGCTTGAGTCCCTTGGCCGGGAGTCACGGCCGGGATCATCGGCATCTGGCTCTCTAGGGATATGGTCGCTCGCGGAGTTGTGGTCGCTTCCTAGCTGTATGGGTCCTTGTACATCCGATTCCTTTGGTCTTGCAGACCCCGCCGCTGTCCCAGAGAAGTGGTCGGTTTCGAGAACCGCATCGCGGAGTATGGGTTCGGTGGGCGTTGTATTATCATTGTGGTTGCGGTTGTTGTCATTCTCGTAGAAAGTCACCATGCGTCCGTTCAATGTAGCTTCTTCTAATCCACCTTTTGCACGGTTCGAAGCATCAGCGTGCGATGACCCTGACCCAGAATCAGGTGATAATGATTTCGTACTCGTATAAGACGCGTCTGAGTGGTCATGTTCCATGTCGAACATTGGAGATTCTGAGGCTTGACCAAGGGCAGCTTAAGACACGTACAGTGTGGTCCAATATCGGGTCGAAAGGGCCCCGCAGCTAGCCTGCTCAATTCATGGCTCAAGAACGATGTGCCTGTTGTACTGCTGTCATGAAAAACGTGATGCCTGCTGTCTATTAATGCAAACCATTCACTTATAGGCGTTCTTCATCAGCCGAAAGAGTTCGGGGTCAGATTAGACCTTGTGCTGGGACCAAGCAGCCATTCAATTCCCTCCGTCATTCAGCCGATGTTCTTGGCGCCCTATCTTGCGGAAAGCACCCGCGCTTGCCGGAAACCAAGCGCCTTCTAGATAACTATTCAGGCTTCGTACTCTTTAATCTCTACGAGCTTGTGGATACTTAAAAACTATTTGGGTACACATAATGTTACAGGGTAATAAGTATGTGGTGTTATTTTAGCAGCTACCTCGGTTGCGACATTGCAGGTGGAATCTAGTCGCGTACAAAGCAATATAGCAGTCAAGAACGTGCTAAAGCCCGTTGCGATCTCTTATCGGGCTGCTTTGTCAATAAGCTCCGATCTCTGCTCCAGCTCGCGCCAGCGTCTCATACACTTTCGGCGGCAGCTTGTATTTGACCATCCCAGAGAATATCATCAGATCCTTGGCCATGACGAGCAACTCATCCGCCAGTCCCTGTCTTATTTCGTTCTCATATGTACCAGAATTTAATCGTTCCCTTTCATGACCAATACATGTGATACACCACATGATCACATGGCCGACATTATGGGAAATAATCGGCGGGAAGGACGAAAAGGCTTGGGCAGCGCTCCTAATGTAGGGAACGGCGCCTCGGGCCCGCAACGGCAGAATGCTCAGATCATTGATAGCCTAGAGGAAGTCCGTTAGTTTGGTCGCTGCCAGTTAACACAAGTATAAGATCAACCTACATCCAGAGCCGGCGTCCATTTTGCTGCCTCAACTTCCAACTTGGCCTCCATCATCCTAAGTAGCAATCCGCACGCATCGCGATTGACTTGACGGATTCGTTGGTAATACATCGCGTTTGCGTTATACAACCCAATCATATTCCTTGCCAGAACAACTGGATTATCCACGGTTGTTAAGCTGAGACTGCCACCGGCTTCCAGCTCATGATCATCGGTCCGAGGCCTCAAAGGCTGCAATTTCAGGGCGGGTCCGCCCAGTTCTACAGCAACGGCGTCAGACAGCGCTCGATTGATGATATCAATGACGCGGTCGTAATCCTCAGCGAGGTGATATAATAGGACCGCATCCGTAATAAGACCCTTGTCATCGGCGATAGCTGCTGCTTGCAGAGTGATCGTCTTGAGGAACTCATCTTGATCGACTAGCTTGATCAGGCTAATACGTTGTTCAATCAGCCCCTTGATTCTGCTTCCGTCTGATCTGATGTCGCCCAGCAACTTAGCAAAGTCCCTAGTCTCAAGAATAAATTCCCGCAATGCTTCATGGCACACAGAAGCTTGAGATTTACCAAGAGCTCCGGGCAGGTCGGCGTTAAGGCATAACAACGTAAAGTAATCAATTGCGGCTTCCACATATCCCGTCCGAAATTCTCTGGTGTATTGTGTGATTAGATAGCCGAAATTGATCTGTGGGTATTGCTTTACAGTAAAGGACACTGCGGCTGTTAGGTTTTCCTATAGGATTCATCACGGCATATCGGGTTTCCAACTCACATATCTCTTCACCTGACGTGTAAAAATCAGAGACGCGCAAGATACCATAATAAGCCAAGGCAATGGCAAAGTGCACAGCTGTGATCGGAGCATAAGAACCGAGGTATGAAACAGCCTGTTCGAACATTCCTCCCAATATTTGCAGGAAGAAAAAGGTTCCATAGCCTCCAGGTCCCTCTTGGCCTTTCCCGAATACTCTCTGACCGATTTCTGTGATGTCAGCTTGAATGTCTTCGAGCCCGAAAACATCGCCAGCAATTTCCTCCGCTCTATCATCTTCCCTAGCCATACTAAACTGTAACCACATCCAGTCTTCAACACTTTGATTTATACCGTCTAAGCGTCTGCGGCCAAGTTCACAACGCCCAATAATTTTGTAGCAAGCCATACGGTAAGGATCAACCGTGTTATCAGGCGCGTTGCGAGACCGTTGTTGATATTCGCCGTTGATCTTTTGTTGCAGGTCCCTAGGCAACCGTCGGTTTTGCGCATATGTAGTCATGTATGTGACAAATTTGTGATCCAATGACCGAAAGCCGGGATCCTGGCTCACATATTCTGCAGCTTCGGTAACGAAACCACAGCGGAGGAGGTAGAAAATAAGAATCCAGCAATAATCCTGGCCAACCATCTGCAACTCCGTACCATCTGGAGCAAGGTCTTTCCGTGCTGCTCTGAGCCGAATATAGGCACGGATTTTATTGGTCACAGTTGGTATGCCACCGAGTTGCGCCTCCCGAGGGTTTTTGGTAATCACATTCTCGACCTCATCGTAGAAGAGCTTCTCCAGGAAAGACCTGGAGCCTTCAACAATCCGTTTCCGCAGACTTACTGCTCTGCGCGAATTTGGGCTGTCATCCAAGTAATCTTGGGCGAAATGACGTTCCACGAGAGCTGAGGGATCAGTCATGTTGATAGCGTCTGGAGACTCTCCAACAATGCTTATCAAAGCTCTATAAGCATCGTACAGCTGTCGAGGTACCTGGAAAAGTCAGTCAACCGCGCACGGGGCTTTGTTTAGGAAACTTACATCGCCGCCAGCATGCCCTTCAACATCAGAAAACTCATGAAGGACCGGAAATGCTCTAGTCTGTAGCCTGGCAGAGTTTAGCAGCCGAACCTTGTCTGCATAATAGCCCATTTTTTCTCGCAAGAAGCGAAGATCAGAGTGACCACTCGCGCCCTCATTGCGTTCTATAGAATCTTCGAAGAGCCGGATGCTTGCTGTTCCTGTTCCTGGGATCCCGATGACGGATTTTTCTAGAGCGGAGCGTCCGAATACACTTCGCCGACCTGTAGATGTAGGGCCACTTGTGGATGCAGGGCCGAGCTGTTTGGATCGCCGCACCGAGCGTCCGAAGCCACCTCTCACATCGCCAGCGCCATCGTCCTTTTGCGCAAGCCCGAAGTGCTGAAATATCTTGCGGCGTTGTTCCTCCCAATCCATGTCAACCTTCTCTTCCAAGAACGAGTCAAAGTCTCTCTGGGTCCGAGCAAGGCTCTCATTGATCATCACCTGACGGCCACGCTGCTGTATGTTTTTCAAGAATTTTTGATTGTCTGGGTCAAAGGAATCTTGTTCTCTCAGCGGTGTCGCTACAGATGCCTGAGGGTCCAAAGCCTTCAGATCCCGCAAGGCGTGGCCAGGAGATACACCTGAAGCCGCAAGCAAGTAATGGCTGGATTATATATTAGAATATCAGCTGACCAAGATCGGAAGCAGAAGCATCGGGCGTAAGGAGGTTGAACTTACGCTTTGCTGTGTGGTACATGAGGTTGGAATTCCTTTGATCCACCAGCACCAAGCTCCCTGGCCTTTCTGCGAATGTCGTCCAGACCTAATTGAAGACTCGGTAGCTCCTCGAAGTTGCCGTTTTGTGCAATTGCAGAAATTGGTCTCTTTTTACCGCGTTCTAGTAAACTGTTAAAAAAAGCAGGTTGAGTCGCCTGACTGGATGATTGCGGTGCATTCGTCTGTGTTTGATCTTGTCCAAAGACCGAGCTCGAAGTAGGCTGCTGCTGCGCTTGCGACTGCTTTGCGAAACTTGTTCCACCTGTAAGGCCTGGCGTCCCAGATGGGTTCCCAAAGAGACTCGATGATTGCGTAGCGGCTCCTAAGCCACCCCCGCCAAAGAGGGAGCCGGTGTTCGTGGAGGTCATTAGAGGATTTAGGGGCTGATGCCGTTTGTGTTTATCCAGCAGTCTCCGAACGTCCACTGTAGATGCTATCCAAATTAACACTATAAGCATCAATATCTTCAAAGCAAGTTTGAAAACATTGCGGCTCACCGTCAGAAAGTAAAAAGAAATGAGTATAAGACCTTTTTTAGACAGACCCTGATTCCGTCTTCGCTCGGTTTGCGATCCGACAAGTCAGTTGATAAACTGTTTTGGCGTGCAGTCCCAGATTCCGTAGGTATGTCGGACTTACTTTTTTGCCGAGCTTTGTCGGGCTTACCAGAGATTCATCTCTGCATTGTTCCAGTGATCGGACCGGCTTTCCCTCACTTCAATCTGCTATTTATCTCCCCACTCCGGGTAGTCGATCTCAACTATCGGCGCAAGTTTGGCCCAGCTCATTAATATAGCATAGTTAATTTCCATCCCAGGGGCTCGGCTTGACGTGCCGCTACACAATGCCGGTATTTCAGGCCAAGACGTTTCGACGCGCAACAACAGCATCGTCTACTCTCGGCGAACGAATTGGTGCAGCTTACCGGGCTCATCTAACCAAGCGCCCATTTCTACTCTTCGGCCTTCCTTTTATTATGATAATAGTTGCCGGGTCTTTTGCTTTAACACCCGCTGCCGCTCTGAGGTACGAGCGGTACGATCGCAAAGTTAAACAATTAAGTCAAGAGGAAGCAATCAACCTAGGCCTCAAAGGGCCCGATGGCGACGAGGGTATTAAGCGAAATCCACGGCGACGAATCATTGGTGATGAAAGGGAGGAGTACTATGTCAGTATACACCCTAATCGGTCAAGCGAGGATTTGCGTAATACGGCTGGGATGTGGGATAGCAGCTAATCCGGTATCACTGCTACAGCGGCTCATGGCCAAAGATCTTGATGATTGGGAGCAAAAGAGAGTACAACGCTTCAAAGGCGAACCCGATGGGAAACTCTGAGATGCGCCACGCTTGCTTTAATAATAACCCCGACATGGTTCACTATTTGGTGATAGCCACATAAATGCGACGTCCTTTCCCTTTCAACCCTCTAATGCCTGATGTAACTCAGTCTTGGCTATGGTCGCATAGTGGTATGTGATGATAACAGCATCGCGCATTTGCGACCTAAGTGGTTGAACGTCACTAACATTATAGATCTTCTATAGAGTCGATAAGCATTCCTTCTAAGAGTCAAACTATGGAGATTCTATGCCATGCTGCCTTCTTGGTGCTATCTGCTGTTTCACCTCGTTGCAGCAGCTGATACGAATGCTGTATGTTAGTAAGTATATTAGTCTTAGTTGTACACCACAAGAACCTACTTAGTTTTCTACTAATGTCTCACTTGTCACGTACCAAACGAAGCGTATCCAACCAGCCAATATTCATGGTTGACAAGAAGCAATTCCAACGTGGTGAATCATGTATATATCATAAATACTCCTCGGGATAAGTATGAGAGAGGGGCCCAAGCTGAGCCACTGGCTTATCTGCCTTGATCTTGGGTCAATATTGTGCACAGCATTAAGGGCACCATAGGTGCGCATACACACTCCTACAGAGTCACGCGTGGAATCAGCTTAGGCAGCCTTAGGCAGCAAGCAGTAACCTTATATGGCCCCCACTATGTATTTCGGCTATTCTGCGATGGACAGTAGCAACTAGAGCCAAGTCAGCCGGCTACTTTGTCAAGGCTTTGTTGCCTCCTGTTAGAGTGTAGTCGCGATATGCCTAACGAATTTGACACGACTATGTCGTGGAAGTTTACGCGGATGTGGGGGAGAAAACCTAGTCCTGTCCACCGTCAAGGAAATACTTAGAGTAAGGGGGTACTGAACTGAACAAGAAGGTAGGCACTCTAGCAGATTGAAGCACTCATTCCCGATCTGGATTCTCTCCATAATCTCTACACAAGGATTCTATGTGCGCTGTCTGTCTAAATTGGATCATTGTACGCATAACAGAGTCCTGTCTTCCTGTTGCACCTTTCGCATGTCTTTTGGGAGGGGAAAGAGTGCTGGGGTTACGATGGACTCGCCACACCTTTCCCGGTTCCTGGTGGCTCTGAGTGATCCAGACCGGCCGCTGCTGCGTGGGTAACGAGTGGCTCTGCACACTTTGCCGCTTCCCGAGCCTCTGCCACCAACCCATAACGTCATATCCAGAGAACGACGTCGTTCCCTCCGGTTTTCTCACCAGCCCATTCGCTCTTCCACGCAGCCTTTCTCGGTTGCTGGCCCCCAATCCCCCTACGTGCTTAAATGATGGCTGTGGATCAGTGATATCAGCCATATCCCTCTGTCCCCCACTTTCCTCTTCTCAAGTCTTCCATTGGCTTAGAATTCTGCTCTGCTGGAAGTACGAGCTTTGGGCCCCTTCAGTGAGACGTGGAATTCCTGCGACTGCAGCTTTGGTCAAGAGAACACGACTCCTCATGCCTTTCGGTATATCGGTCACTTAGGATCTTCATCACTGAGTGCTTTCTTCGCTGAAATTATTACATTCCTTTAGTAGGACACTGCTATCTCATCGGAACCACCCGAGAATTTGCTGTTCGCCAGGCCGATTACGCAGTGTGACTACCATCGCCTCCAGCTATTTCTGTATTTGCCCCTCCGCATTTACCCGTTTAGACCGTCTTCTCAGCCCGACCCCTCGAAGACAGGTTGGCGACGGGTCACTTCACAAGCCTACGCTCTCATTCAGGCCTAGTATCTACGCTTTCGATGAGTAGCTACTGGATTTCTGTTGACAGACTGAGACGGACCAGCGTGCATATTTCATGGGAAAGCAGTGTGCTTTTTCCACCAGTTGTCGGAGAAAATAATATTGCTCACGGTTGCTGAGCTGGGTCTTCAACTCCAGAGATCATATCCATCGCGCTATGGCAATGAATGTTTAAATGTTGACGTGTCAATTTAATAAGCTGGCAAGCAGAAGGAAGACACTGATAGTCTTTTCGAGGATTTGAAAGCCATGTCGGCCATGACAGGTACAAGATCACCTACGTCTCCTTGGCCTCCGGAGTGTCAAAACCTGCAGCTCGAGGGGTCCTCCACACCATCGGCTCTTTTTGCATTGCGTGAATCTCAAATGTCCCCGTTGGGACATGGTATCAACCCTCACAACTCAGTATCAGACCGCTCGGGTCCCAATTACTTCTCTATTAGCGTGGAAAGCCCCGGTAATCCAAGAAGAAGCCGGGAAGCGATATCATACACCCAGCCCCCGGTTTCTAGTCCCAAAGCACAGCTCTTATCCAAAAATAAAGCATTCGACGATTATGTGGGCCTGCCGAAGACAGGGACAGTGGCCGATGACGAACACAGAGAATCTCCGGTATTTCGGCTCTCCTGGAATCCTAGTTTACAGAGACGGAGTCCGATGCCTTCCCGACAGGATGCATCTCCTCTGAAGCAGACGTCTGCTCACGGATGTGGCGTTTCGGTTGAGCGCTGCGCAGAGCTTCTCGAATCCTCTTGTCGGGATGTCATGCTGTTGGATGTGAGGCCTTATGCGCATTTCGCGAAAGGGTCCATCAAAGGATCGCTAAACCTTTGTATTCCGACAACCCTTCTCAAGCGACCCTCCTTCGACACGCAAAAATTGACAAATACGTTCACGAACGAATCTGAAAAGCAGATCTTTGCGGGGTGGAGGAGATGCCGTTATATAATAGTCTTTGATGCTGCCACATCAGACATGAAAGACGCCAGTCCGCTGATGAATGTTCTCAAAAAGTTCACTGCAGAAGGGTGGAGTGGTGAGGGTTTAATACTGCTTGGAGGCTTCAGAGCCTTTTCATCACGCTTTCCCACTTTTGTTCAAGGACAGCAAGTTCCGGTATCCGACACACCCGCAGGAAGACCGTCTCGAATGCATATTGATCTTCCAAGTGTCGCTCCTGTCGCAGGTGGCTGTGCCCTTCCTGAGTCCTCCCATGCCGCGATCCCTTTCTTTGGGAACATTCGGCAACACATGGATCTCATCGGCGGTGTCGGTCAGATCCCTCTTCAAGTACCTCACAGTTTTTCGGAATCCAAAAAACGTTTACTCCCTCCTTGGCTGCGCGAAGTGTCAGAGTCCACAGACAAAGGCCGCAAAGTCTCAGAAAAGTTTCTGAGTCTGGAGAAAAAGGAGCTGGAACGTATGAAGAAGGCATTGTCTTACGAGAAGTCTGCCGATGCCTCTACGATAGGTGGCTCTTCGGAAAACTTTCGCGTGGCGGGAATTGAGAAAGGTACAAAGAATAGATATAACGACATTTACCCATTCGATCATTCCAGAGTGAGGTTGCAGAATGTGTCACCCGGAGGCTGCGACTATGTGAACGCGAATCACATGAAAGCAGCTTATAGTGGTAAACATTACATAGCTACCCAAGCACCCGTACCTGATACGTTCAATGTAAGTTTGGGTCCCTTTCTCATGAGCTTTACTACCACTCATAAGCCCTTCACGGGATAACGCACATTTTCACGTGTCGATTACTCATTCGTCTCACAGGACTTCTGGCGCGTTGTTTGGGAACAAGATGTTCGACTGGTGGTTTCTTTGACTGCGGAAGTTGAACGGGGACATGTTAAATGCCATCCTTACTGGGAATCTGGCAATTATGGGCCTTGTCAGGTCAACAACTTTTCTCAGAAATTCATCTATTTAGATGCTCAAGATCCGCAGCCAACTGATATGGAGCTCGACAAGCCGGAAGATTCGGGTAGTCCCTATATCATCGTCAGGCATTTTGGCTTGTCGCACTCATCATTTCCATTTCAACCCTTGCGCGAGGTTACGCAGCTACAATATCCCCATTGGCCTGATTTCGGAACCACATCTCAACCAACACATCTCCTTAAACTTATCGAGCAGTGTGATAAAGTCATAGCAGCAACAACTGGGCCACATGCTGGTTCTCGCGATGGACACGCGAACTCAAGGCCGGTATTAGTGCACTGCAGCGCTGGATGTGGCCGTACTGGGACATTCTGCACAGTGGATAGCGTGCTGGACATATTGAAACGACAACGCAGTGCAGCGCATACCTCGGGTGGGAATCCGAACCAATGGACCCATACCGACAATGTGGATCTCATCGAAAAAACGGTAGACGACTTTCGAACGCAGAGGCCAAGCATGGTGCAAAATTTGAGCCAGTTTGTTCTGTGTTATGAGAGCGTCTTAGAATGGACAGTTGCCCAGATGGGGAAAGAGCAAGATATAGGAGGTTGCTGAGGGGTCTTTCATTATGATTAGAAGCTTAGATACTGGAGATGTTCATGATAGTGGGCGGCTTGGATATATTTGTTGTTCTATATATCGTCTGCGTACGGGGTTTAGCAATTTAGTTTTGGCCCTCTGTACATCCGTCATTTCCCCCGTCACAATCGTCCCCTTCGAATGAACAGGCACATGTCAGCACAGCGAAGACACTGAAGATTCCCTATCACTGGTCACAATCTTTCAAATTTCCTTCTTCTAGTTAAGCCCTTTGAGTATTTTCCCTGAGAGGCTGCGTATAATATATTGGTTGGCCAAAACGGGTGGAGCCGGAACGCACAGTGGGTGTGCTCTCTACTAGTACATCAAGTATCTAGACGCTTTTATCCTTACGTTTAGTAAGTGCCCTGCCATCTCAAAGCCACATCAGATTCCACCGTCTTGGTTAAACTACAAGAAGGTAAATAATCGTAGAAGCCAGAAGGTTGAATGCAAGGTTATGAGACTCTCGATGGGCAGGCAACAGCAGGTAACGATAGCGGCGGCAGCGGCTGCCTTAGATCCAGTTCACTTAAGAAAAGCGAGCAACCCCAAAGCAAACACCGAGCAAAGCTCATCCTGGACTATCCACAAGACTTTTTGGTTCTATTTAAGGACTATGATATGAGTTATTACTACGTACTAGGTTGTACGAACTCGTTTCAATCCCCTTGAGTGAAATACTTGGCAACCTTTCCGACTCCTCATTTATCAATCAGCCTCAAACAACAGTGTGAATTCAAGTGCCATGATCCTGAGCCTTCCGCCAGAACTTATTCAGCTGGTTCTTCAAAAATGCAGCACACCTGCTTTCTTAGAGGCAGCTTTCTCCTGCCGCACTGTTTATGAGATCGCCTCCACTTGCCGGGAGGTTCTTGTGCATCACCTACGGCGAACACCCGGGCTTGTCAATCGAGATCTAAGCTCCCTCAGCTCAAAAGGACTCTTTCGCTTGTTGACAAAGAATGCCTTCCAGCAGTTATATGGTGCGCAATATCATGCAAATCGTGTGACTTATGAATTTGGGAACGATGTTCTTGATGTCAAAGCATCCACCTTTGCAAGTTTCGATCACCAAACTCTTGCTCTTGTCGCGCGCGGCCGGGAGAAGGTCTATCTTTTTCACATTGACCATGGTCATCTCCGACCCTTAAGCGAGGTTAATCTCCCATGCAATCACCCTGGAAAAGGCGAAGTCCTCAAAACTGCGTTTGATGGAAGTGGCGGACTCTATGTCCTTCAGCGCTTTGTACCTGCCATGGATGCAACTGATACAAATGCAAATCATCCATTCATCAAGCAAGCAATGCAGTCTAACATCAACGGAATGCACTACCTCTCATGCCATTCCCTCGACTCGCCTGGCGAGCCCGTCCGGGTGTGTACTTTCCCAGATCATGTAAATTACAAGCCTCTAGCACTTGCAGCTATGCAAGGCGGTAGCTTTGCAATTTCGTGGCAGCACAATCACGATTGTAGCGAGAACGAAGTCGTGCTATACACGACTTCCGTTGATCCGCACAGCAGTGCAAAGTCGGATGTCATCGGTTCGTTTCTCTGTTTCACTTACAGCATGAGTCTTTTGCTAGACCTTCCTGATACTGACGCAACTCTAGATGTTAGCTACGATTCTTGCGTCCTTCTGGAAGGTACGAGACAGGGATTCGAAGGAGATAGATTCACCCAGTCTAGAAACACTCAGGGCAGTCTTCTCCCCGGAAAAGGGCCCGTGGTGGGACTTGCATTTAATGACAAATCTAGCCAATTGCTGTATCGCTACCGTGCACAAGCCTTGTACGGATCATTCCAAAAAATCGATATTTTGCCTTTCCCAACTCAGTCTGTACTGTATGAGAACTCATGCCCCGTGCAGTTTTCAGATTCTTTGACTCTGTTATTCAGCATTGGAATACCGTTTTCCGGCACACATGAAACCCGGGTGCAGAATGGTCTCCTAAGATGCCACTGGAAATATCTTTCTTTTGGAATAGCCACCCATCGTGAAGAGGACTGGACTGTTGCATGCCTTCTGAGGTCTGAGGCTGTGTGTCGAGCCAGTAATTGCGAGCATATATTGCATCTTGAGCGCGGACGCCGGTTACCGGATTGGACGATCGTGGCCCGTCTTCGTGGCTTTGAGAATTCGAATACCTCACTCGGTTGCATAGTTGCAGCTTCCAGATTGGGGACACGTATAGCTGTTGCGAACTGGAAAACTGTTTATATCTGGGCGCTGGAGCCAGGCGCGGTGATTGAACAGAATGCAACCGGATTTTACCCAGATTCTTCTTGGCCACCAGGTGTTGAGGTGGTTGATTTGGAGCCTGTATCCATCTCCCTTGGGGCTGTCTGTTTTCAGCTACGCTTTGGTTTAGGTGAAAACGACCTGGTAGCCATTACAGACAGAGGTCTGGTATATTGTGATCTTAACCCGTCCGGAAGTAGCCACAGAACAACATATCAGTTGCGCATGGGAATTGAACCTGGTTCTTGAGGGCTTTTGAGGAAAGTCATACTTATGATCATGATTTGCAGTATTTTGCTAACACTCCTATCCAATCATCCGTCATTGCATGCATCGATATTGAATCGTGAGAATTAAGGATCAGAATTAACAATATGCATTATATCAACTGTGAAGTACATGTATAGAACGATAGTTCATAAAACATATTCCACACTTTGTTTCGCCCAATTAATTGTAGCACAATTCCCATTGCGCTTCATCATGATATAGACGTACAATGTCAGGAGGCACATCTGGATCGTCTTTCAGATTGCCTATCTCTTTTGATCCTCCTCTCTGGGAGGCGAGTAATAGCAGTGCTAGTCCCCATAATCAAAGGCAAATGCATGATACCACCACAACATCTATTTGCGGCTAGCTGATGCCGGACACGTTCGTACGTTTTAGCATGCTTTTTTCTTTTTTTCTTTTGTTTAGTCTTCTTTCCCCTTCCTTTCATGCCGGAGCTGCAGAGCGACAGGCGAATCTGGAATCCGAATGTGGCAAATGAATTGAGTTTTATGGTGTTCTGGAGGAAATGCATAGCGTCTGGGACGACGACCACATTGATTTGCTAAAAATTAAGACAAGTCTTGGGAATCTGCTCCCAGCAACAAATCTAGCCAAGTAGCACTAGCATACCATGCCTTAGGGAGAACAGTTGATCTACGCAATGGTTTTGTAAAGAATCTACTGATTTTCCCCGCCGCCAGACATAGCCAGGAATGTGATAATGAGGAAAACCCACCAGTATCTAGATACGTGTTAGATTATACAACTTGCGCGACTCGGAAGGTGGGGGTAAGACGACGGTCAGTGGGACGACCTACTTTTGGAATATAGTTTTCTCGACGACCTCCTCTGTATTTTTGCCATCCGGACCAAGCACGATAGGCTGATTGAGATGTGGGCGTGGACCGGCTTGATTAGACAACAGCTCCAACTTTGGGCTTACAGGCGTAGAAGAAGAAATCGATGAGGTAGACGACAGCAAGTCAACGTAGTAGATTTTGTTGGACGGGCCGACATGAAGCCGGAGCGTTGGCCTGTCGGTCTCGCCCCCTATGAGGGAGGACCTTGAGACGAGTGTCCCTACCCATTGTTTGGTGTTTGTAGACGTAGAGGTGTACAGGCCCAGACGAATCAAGTCATTGGACTCATCCTGCGGTTCGTGATCACCGCACGCGGCGACAATATTCGTTGAAGGGAAGGTGAGTTCTGGTTGCAAGGTGGCCGAATCGTACGAGACGTGAGCAAGGACGGACGGCTCGGGTGACGCTACAGGCCAGCATAGGATCTCGGCTGACAGTGGCTGAGAGGAGGTGGTGGCCGCGGATAGGGAGAATAGGGAGAGCGCAGGAAGGAGATTGAAGTAGAAAGGCCGCATGGTTCCTGGGCTGCAGATGAATAGTAGCTTGATCCGAGGCGAGTTGATGGGGACGCAATTAGAGACAAGGCGAAAACTAGAAGTCGAAATAGCAATATTGGAACAGGTATCGGAGAATAATTGACACAAGAGGTGATATATTCCAAGATCGAATTCTCGTTGCGTCCTTGCTTTGAGTTTGCTCTGCTGAGGGCAGAGACACCTGGATAAGCGGGAAGTTTCCAGCTTACTTTACTGCATCTATTCAAACTCCGGAGAGCAGCGAGCGGTGGAATCTCAACTAGCGCGGAGAGTTACCCGCTAAACTACTGGATGGATCTGATTCAAGTTCCCCGCATAAGCTCATTATAAACAGATTGAACGCACTGTAGACTAACTTGTACTCTCACACTTTTTTTTTTTTTTGGTCTCCCTTTCGATGCGACTACGTATTGTCTAGGGGAGTTCGAAACATCATGTATGGGTCACTACCAAATCTATGTCATGCTGCACAGTAGAATCCTGATGGAGATCATTCGTCGTCAATATTTTGAAAAACCATAATTAGTACCAATTACTACATGTTGCTCTGCTTTCATTTTCCAAAACTTACTGTAGATATATCCACAGTTATTCACAAAAATATTCTCCCATCCCCTGCAGGAAGAAGAAAGTGGGTCAGCCATAAGTACATAGTTCAATCATACTCAAGTACTTTTAACTGGTAGTCGGTTTTTATGAAGGTGGGGGAGCTCCCAGAATAATAATATATAACTAGTATGCTATCAATTCTGTGTATTTTCTTCCTTCCCCACCACCAGATGATAAATTGGAGCCTGAATCGGTGCATCCCATCGATCATTCAACCTCTCCTGATTACCCCCTTTGTCCCTCCCTGTTCTCCAATTGCGCGTCTATCATTTTTGTCAACCCATCAATCATTTCTTTCGTCCCGCAGGCGCCTCACAAAGTCAGTCAGCTGCAAGTCCACGTCTGTGTCGTCCAAGCAATCAATTGGCTGCAATACCCATCATTCGCACAAATCAAAACCCCCCCCCCCCGGCCTCTCCTTCTTTTCTTTCGCCCACCTCTTTACAATTGCCGTGCTTAGATTCGTGCCCCATTATCGTACAGAAATAGACCTTTTCGGTTCGATCATAGTGTCTCTTGCCTTCCCTATTCCAACTCCATGGCTTCTATATCCCAGATGCCTTATCGACGACCCTCTCGGCAGGGTTCTAGGCAGGCGTCGATAGATACGCGGGATGAGATACAGGTCCGCGTAGACCACTACATTGGAATTGATGTCGGGACTGGCAGTGCCCGCGCTTGTATAATCGATAGCAAAGGCGATATTGTCGGCCTAGCCTCTGAGAACATTGGTCTTTGGCAACCTCAACAAGGATATTATGTACGTGTTTATGCTCAAGTTTTCTTGCCCTGTCACTATCATAAGGCTTTGTGTGGCCTCCGATTGACTCCCTGTCATCCAGGAACAATCTACGAACGATATCTGGCGATGCATCTGTGTAGCTGTTCAGCGCGCAATCAGCCAACACAACATTGATCCAGAGACCGTGAGGGGCATTGGGTTCGATGCGACATGCTCGTTGTCGGTTTTTTCTAACGTTACGAACGAACCGATATCCGTGACGGGTCCCAACTTCAACTCGGACCGCAATGTGATCCTCTGGCTCGATCATCGCCCAGTGGACGAAACCGAAAGAATCAATGCTACGAACCACAATCTGCTCCGCTATGTAGGCGGAAAGATGTCCATCGAGATGGAGATTCCCAAAGTCCTGTGGCTGAAAAACAATATGCCAAAGGAGCTCTTTGATCAGTGCAAATTCTTCGACCTGGCTGACGCCCTGACTTACATTGCCACTGGCGCCGAGCAGAGAAGCTTCTGTAGTGTAGTCTGCAAGCAGGGATATGTTCCTGTAGGTGTTGACGGCAGTGTAAAAGGTTGGCAGGAAGACTTTCTGAACGAAATTGGTCTGGAGGACCTGTCGGAGGATAACTTCAAGCGAATGGGCGGTGTCGACGGGGTGGTGAGCCTTTTTCTTTGATGATCCTATCAATCACACGTGTTACCCCTTTTCCACACCCTACCTGACAATGAGTTTGACGGCTAACTGATGCTCCAGAATGGCGATTATCTTAGCGCTGGTGAACTGGTCGGCACATTGTGTGAGAAGGCTGCCTCTGAGCTGGGTCTGCCCCCGGGGATTGCAATCGGCAGCGGCGTCATCGATGCCTATGCAGGCTGGATTGGCACAGTCGGCGCTAAGGTCGATCTCGAGTCGGAACAGCTGAGCTCTGACATCGCCAAGAACGATAAGGCACAGGCATTCTCTCGCTTGGCCGCTGTCGCTGGAACATCAACCTGCCATCTTGCGATGTCCCCAGATCCTATATTTGTCCCTGGTGTCTGGGGGCCTTACCGCGATACTATCCAGCCGGGATATTGGATGGCCGAGGGCGGCCAATCCGCAACCGGGGAGCTGCTCAAGCATGTTATCGAGACTCACCCGGCGTTCAATCAGGCACTCTCGATCGCTGAGTCGTACAACGCCAATATATATGAATATCTAAACGAGCATCTGAAGGAACTGGCTCATGACCAGAAGGCTCCTAGTATCTCTTATCTGGGCCGACATGTTTTCTTCTACGGTGATCTTTGGGGCAACCGTTCCCCCATTGCAGATCCTGGAATGACAGGTTCTATGATTGGGATCACGAGTGACAAGTCTGTGGATGGGCTCGCTGTTCATTACTATGCCACCCTCGAATTTATCGCGCTACAAACCAGGCAAATTGTGGAGACAATGAACAAAGCAGGTCATCGCATCACCTCCATTTTCATGTCGGGCTCTCAGTGCCAAAATGACATTCTGGTAAAGCTAATAGCATCTGCTTGTGACATGCCCGTGCTTATCCCTCGTTATATTCATGCTGCTGTCTGCCATGGTGCAGCCATGCTGGGTGCCAAAGCCGCTAGTGCTGACGCAGAAGGCAAGACAGAAGATCTGTGGTCTATCATGGACCGCATGAGCAAGCCGGGAAAAAAAGTCGTCCCAACTACGGATGAGACGGAGAAGGCCTTGCTTAACGCCAAATACAAGGTCTTCTTAGAGCAATGTTACAAGCAGCAGGAGTACCGAGCCCTCGTAGATCAAGCCGTGGCCTCGTGGACGTCTTAACTCTCTTTCTCCACTCAAATTTTTCCTTCGCGTTGCGGCAATTATGTTCACTCTTTCCTTTCTACTGAAGGAGGACAGGGGGATTATGACAGGACTTTCGGACAATGTTACTAGCTAGCGTGCATAAGTAGCCGTACAATTTACACGCATCTACCACAAGATATTACGCAGGATATGGGAACAGACTATGAGTAACAGGTAATGGAGGTCTAATTATACAACTTCAATAATGTGGCAGACATACATGTTCGAAAAGCCCCAATCAGCACGCAAATGTTAAACAATCTGGGGCAATCTTGTCAGAGTCTAAAACGCGGGACCAGTAATGCACGCATATTCCTCAGCGAAATTGTCTGCTTCAACCCTCGGGTGGACAGATTTCGAGCCCTCACCTAGAAGTTGACAGGCAGACACACGAATTGAGCTATACTCAAAAAGCCCTCCCACTCCTGGACCTACCGATAGTGTAATACTTCTCGACTGGACTCGAGCCAAGGGCCAGCGTATCGAAACGATCGACACCCATAGTCTCCAAGTTGCTGTAACCAGAGAGATAGAATCCGATCACAACCACGAGGTACGTAAGGACGAGGATAGAGCCCTTGAAATAGTTGCTTTTTCCTTCGCCGTGCACGTAGGAGAGCAAGAAGACACAAAGGATCACGGATACCATGTCCCACTGAGGGAAGATAAGGCTGTAAGGGAAAGGTTTGTTAGCAAGGTTTCTTGCGTTACAGATTGGCTTTAAGGAACAAAAAGTAGGGCAGGATCAAACATACTTGAATGTGTGGCTTAGCAGCTCAGAAGGATCGATGACGCGGGCATAGAGAGCGCTAAATAGAACTAAAGCAGGGATCTGCAAAAGGCAAACCTGAAGAGCGTAGGCTGAACCGATCTCCATGGACAGCGCGATATTGCCGTTCATAGCAAACGAAATAGCGTTCTGTGAGCCAAGATAATGAGTTAATTCGATCATGCTGACAGCGATTATTCAGGACTACATACCAGAAACTCTGTTGTGTTGGGGACCAAGGCAAAGAGCGTGATTCCAAGGAACTTTTCATCGATATCGACACTTTCCAAGACCACATCGACCGTATTCACGAGGATTTCTGCGATGACAGCATAAAGAATAGTAGCTCCCAGAAGTATTATGGAACTTCTCGTTTTACTCCAGTTAGGTGCGTCATGACCGCCGCTAGTATGGCCAGGCTCCAATCCGATATCCTCGCTTTCCTCAAGCAAGGTTTTCACTTGATCGGCGGGGCTTTTAGTCGCTTGACGCGTGCTTGCTTGCTGGGCCACGGGCTTCCTTGTTCGGGCCGCATCTCGAGCGGCAACAGCAGCAGCCGTTGCAGCAACCTCTGTCACCTGACGCACAAGATCCTCATTGTCTTCATTGGACAGACCAGTGAAGTTTCTCAGCCTGGGATTGCTATCGTCGCCTTCCGTCCGAGGGGGGACAAGGTATGGCGTTGTGCTCTTTCCTTGCAAAGAGGAGGTAGAATCGGATTGAGCGTTATGATCATTGGGGTTATCAGACAGACCGACCTGCTTCAGAGACTGCCCCAGTATGCGCTTGTACAATTGAGAATCCCGAACAGAGCCCTTGGTGATAGAGCCACCAGTGCTCCCAGCCGGAATGTGAGGGAAATCACCGTGTCTAGCTTCGTAGGCAGCTTGCTCGTTCGCGAGAGCTACAGCCTTCTTCTCCTCTACTTCCGTGGCCCAGATGAGAGCAGCGTGGGTTCTCAGCGTGAACCATAATCCAATGACATAGGACAGGAACAAGAATATTGCAGCAAACCACGAATATGGCTGGACTGCCTTTCGGAAAAAACTGTCATTCACCGCCGGTGTTTGAGAGAAGTAACAGCGACGACAATCACTGTCCTCGGTTCCTACAGTGGTAACGCACAAGCGGCAGTTGAGCTCATGCTAAATTCCAGGCTGTCAGCAAAAGTGCTAGATGAACAATCACGCAGAAGACGGTGTCACTTACGCTACCGTATATCTGGTAAAAGAGTGTAGGCCCGAATGCAGCAATAACTGCAAACATCAGCATTGTCGACGTGACACCCGCAGACTTCACATTGAACCGCTGGGTCTTGCGCTTGATAGCGCCAAAGCACATGGAAAGCCCCGGAAGAAATAGGATTCCTGCAAAGATGCTACCGATAATGCTGCCCTCAACAAGTTGCCCCTTTCCTTCGGTTAAAGCAACACAGTAAAGATAGACTTCAACTACGGTCGAGAAGAAGGCATTCACAGCTGCACCCATGCCCATGGAGGATTGAGCGGAAATCGATGCAACGGCTTGTCCAATGAAATAGGCCAAAGGAATGATGGAGACAAGCGCAAGCGTGAATATAAGACCTGGGTGCGTGATGGCAGATTGGAGGCCCAGTGTCTCACTGAGAAGAAAGTAGTCAAAAATGACAAATAATACGACACCAAGAAGGTTGATCAAGAAAATATTCGTCCCGCCGACAGTATACTTCCAGTACCTCAATCCCGCTGCGCGATAAGTGCATAGCAGGACGGATGAGGAGGATCCGGGACTGAGTCTGGTGTAGGTGGTGTCGGAATGGTACGACAGAGCCAAGGGGTGACGACGAAGGTGATCAAAAAGGATAATGGTCACACGTCCCATGGGGATCCAGAAGACCAATAGCCAACAAAGCAGCGAGACTAGAAGCATTAGAGGCCCTACGAGAAAGTAGAAAAAGACGAAGAATACGACGCGGCCAAGCGTCCATTCGCCACGACCGAATAGACGCCGCTTAGGATGGCTGAGGGGACTCTCTCGAGGGCTGCCCCTTTGCGTTCGCCCTAGAAGACTATCTTGTTCGCTGGCCGAGTCGATACTGTTTCGTCTTCTCCCGACCAGTGACCGGTTGCGTCGAGGTCCGAAGAACAGCCGGCCATGCTCTAAGTCGCCATTCTGCCACTGTTCGTACTCACTAATGCTGCGGCCTTCACCCTCATCTTCTTCTGCGTAATTTTCGTCCGTGTCCAGACGGACGAAGGAGCCAAACGGATAAATCAAGTACCAAGAAAGCCCCGAGAAGACCCTCCCATATTCTAGTGCACTGGGTGAATATGCGAAGACGAAACAAGCGATAGCACCTGTAAGCGCAGCCAGGGCTAACCACCAGCCAAAAAAAACTGTCCACAAAAGGTTAGTTAAGAACAACAAGTTGCCCACGCGACCACCGGGCGACGAATGAATATCGCCTTCGGCGGTCTTTTCTACCGAGCGGCTCTTTTTGTACAATGCAGGTTTCCAGAGCCTTATTCCAAAAGGGTGAGTTTCGTTGATGGCCTGCTGGCGATCCTTCAGCGTGAAGCTTTCGGCATCACTAGTCTCTGCTTCATCTTCTTCATTGTTATCGTTACTATCAGGGCTCCCACTCTCCGACTGTTCAGCAGAAGGCTCTATTTCTGCGCCCGGATCGGGCAGGCCGATCCCTTCTTCGCTTTCATTTTCGGTTTCCGGTTGAATTAATGGGCTGTTCATGCGGGCATTAATTCTTCGTCGCAGAGTCGAGCTCTGTTTCCTCAAGGGACGTATCCTAGGCGATGACTGGGGATTGGACGCGTGTTGCAGAGCTATATCCTCCTCTACTTCCTGTACATCATCCTCCGTAGAAAATTCCTGCCCCTTGTGAGGTACCTGTCGCTTGGAAGACATACGCCGTGTTACAGATGGTTTCCTCGGTCTGTCCGACTGCAGCGGTGGGGTGGAAGTCGACTGAGAGGTAGGCATGCGACTCGAGCTTTCTGGCTGGCTTTCTTCCAGACGGGGATCAAGGTCCATCCTTGCGAGAGAATCTAGAGTACCTACAGAAGGAGTCAGTCATATTGATCAAGAGGAGTCAAGAAGCAAGCAAGCGTACCATAGTTCCGTCTGGATTGTGTCGCATTCCTCTGACGGCGAGCGGCAGACGACATATCCTCGTTATCGACGTTTGACGATTCGACGGGATCGATGGGATGAGAAGGACCCTGATCCTCCCTTTCCTCGTTGTTTGACATGGTTGGTCAGTTTGTTTCGGGCTCAATTTTCTTAGCAACTTTTTTTTTTTTTTTTACCAGCCCCTTTGACCGTCTTTGTGATGATCTTGGGAAAACAGGGAGGCTGGGGGATGCCAGGAAAAGGATCGTTCGAGAAGCACTAGTAAAAGAGAGTGGCCTGCACTTGAAACAGAAACGGAGATATCTTTCTTTTTACAACATGAACCAAAAACAACTAAGTTACATGTTGAAGTAAGCTCAAGAAAAAACAATCCGGGGCGGACAGAAAGCGAGAGGGTAGAGAAGCAGGCGCGAAATGAGAAAAGCAGCTAGCTAGTTAGTTAGATCATGAGATAAGGTCTCACTCGCATCCCCGCAGTCAGCTGAGACCGTGGACATGCAGGTCACAGACGCGACCAAGAAGGATTGCACAATTTCAAAGACGAGTCGAGCAATACTATTCGAAGATGGATGCCGAGAGATTGGCCTGGGTAGGCTGAGGGCTGAAGCTGATTAGCATTTGACTGGAGAACATGTGGATGGTATCTACTGCGTACCACAGCGCTGACCAGCTACGTAATGCGTGTACCACCCCGTTACGTACAATACATTTTTCATACGAGATATGGTTTTCCCATAGTATATGCCTAAGCGACACACTCTCTATCGATTGCTTCACGCTGTTGTGCCGCTGTTCTTTACTATCGGATGAGCTAACTTTAGCGTTAATGTTGTCAACATGGGTATTGGGAGTGGTTGCAGTGTGATCTTTTTAACAGTTCTGGTGGAGTGGCTTACCCACCCTACTAGGTAACCAGATAGTATTACATCACATGACTTGCGGAGCTAGCCTCAGGCCTTGTGGCTGGTGTCTCTTCGAAGCGCTCTGCTGATATCAGCTAGTAACCTAGTTAGTTACTTCGGGTTACCTCACCTACCTACCTAAACTAACAGCTAACTGCGGTACCTATCCCGCAAGAGCTCTCTCGACCCAACTGCCATCACCACTCCTCTCATCACCTTCCCTGTTCCTCACTCTTCGACTGTCTTCTTTCTCTTTCTCTGATTCGATAAAAAGGACCCTATCTGCTCCTGGGATCGCTCCATACTAAATAAATCGCCGACGTCCAGTCTTTCGTGTTTCACGTCTCGCTGTGGCCGTATCAAGGAGCGTCATTCCTGGCTGTCCATCATGGCGCTCGACAACTATTATCGCAATAAGATTGAGAGCATGAAGCTCGAAATCATCCAGGGTCAGGCTGTCTTACGGAGACTGGAAGCACAGCGCAATGACTATAATTCGAGGGTGCGGTTACTTCGGGAAGAACTCGGCTTGCTTCAACAGCCTGGTTCCTATGTCGGGGAGGTAGTCAAAGTGATGAGCACCAAGAAAGTCCTCGTCAAAGTGCATCCCGAGGGCAAATATGGTAAACCCCCTCTGCAGATTTGCTTAGCTCGAGTCTTTGCTTGCTCAACTCCGTGCGTCCCTTACTAACTTCTCTTGCGACGCTACAGTGGTGGACATTGCGGATGGCGTTGATATCAGCAAGCTCACTGTAGGAAAGCGAGTCGCTTTACTCTCGGATTCCTATAAGTTGGAGAAGATGCTACCCTCGTCGGTTGACCCGCTGGTGTCGCTAATGATGGTCGAGAAAGTGCCTGACAGCACGTATGACATGATCGGTGGACTTGACCAGCAGATCAAGGAGATCAAGGAAGTCATCGAGCTTGGTTTAAAACATCCGGAGTTGTTCGAGTCGCTTGGTATCGCACAACCGAAGGGAGTACTCCTCTACGGACCGCCAGGAACCGGCAAAACCCTGCTTGCCCGAGCGGTAGCCCATCACACCGATTGTCGGTTCATCAGAGTGAGCGGATCGGAATTGGTGCAAAAATACATCGGTGAAGGTAGCCGCATGGTTCGCGAGCTATTCGTAATGGCTCGAGAGCATGCTCCCAGTATCATATTTATGGATGAGATTGATAGCATTGGATCCAGCCGCATAGACTCGGCGGGTTCGGGTGATTCAGAGGTACAACGGACGATGCTTGAGCTCCTCAATCAACTGGACGGATTTGAACCTACCAAGAACATCAAGATCATCATGGCCACCAACCGGCTTGACATCCTGGACCCGGCCTTGTTACGTCCTGGCCGGATTGACCGGAAGATTGAGTTCCCTCCGCCGTCGTGAGTATCCCTTGTGACTTGGCTCTTATCGGGTTAAGCTTATGTTACGTTTTACTAATCAATTTCCTTCTTTCAGGGTGGAGGCTCGTGCCGATATTCTGCGAATCCACTCGCGGTCAATGAACTTGACGCGAGGCATCAACCTAACGAAGATTGCGGAGAAGATGAACGGATGTTCTGGAGCTGAGCTGAAGGGTGTGTGCACGGAAGCAGGCATGTACGCTCTGCGAGAGCGGCGAGTACACGTTACGCAAGAGGATTTCGACCTAGCCACCGCCAAGATCCTCAACAAGCACGACGACAAAGAAGTCGCGGTCTCTAAGCTTTTCAAGTAAAGATGAGTTTGCGTGTGAATAGTACCAGGTTACTACAGCAAGAACTATGGCGTTTAGTTTCGATGTCCTCTGATGGCCGCCTCGGCGACGTCGCCACATATGTTTGCCGATCATGACACCCATAATCTTTCTCAGTATCCCTATTGAAGGACAGGTCTGTTTGTGTGTGACGTTGAGGTCTAAGATGAGCCTTCCTGTTCGCATACAGTATCGTAATCGAGGGTTTGTTGGCAGTTGGGTGGACGCAAAGGATAAGCCCCAGATTCGGCTATACTAGGCATAGGATTTTACGTATTGTGTATCTACACCCTGAGACTGAATAGTTGGTTGGATTGGGCCCTCGGCTTGCGAGGACAACCATCAAGACTCCGGAAGGGTAGGGCGTAGCAAACAATTGAAGTGTATCTTCCATTGGATTCTTAAGGGATGATCATCTCGTCATCTCCTTCCAATAGAGACTGGCATGGCCTACTTTGTAGTACTCAGACGATACTTTGCTACGTGATTACAGTATCTAGTTGGTCTTAAGTCTGACATTGCCTATTGGCAGATGAAAGGACGAACTACATGGTGCTCCAATCATCATATCATGGATCTCATTCATGCCCAATACCTTGCCTAACCCGGTGAGATGTGCTACACTCGCCTCCCTTATGCCCGGATGCTTGTATGACGTATGCCGTATGGAAAGGGAACTTCTATTAGGATAAATGCCTAGCCGTGCTTCTTCAAAACAGATCAAAGGGGAGGAGGGTGAGGTTTTAGTGGTATGTCATCAAGATACGTGCAGTATGGCTGTTTACCTACCTCTTTTGTGATAGCAAGAGTTTCTTTGGGCTTGTGAGGGAAGTACAGATCAGCTAGTGAGTACTAGTACTGTGCGCTGCAGTGACCGACTAGATGGGGCAGGAAGTGAGCTCAACTAACCGCCAAGAATCCACTACGTACTTATAGTTTACTTATGTACTATTATGTACCATGCCGAAGTCTACTCTGTCTGTCCATCGCCAGGAATTCTGTGCAACACCAGGCTTGGCAGAGGGATGGGCAACATGGATTCGGCGACAGCCAAGCCGCCAAGAGGGACCTGGAATAAGTAGGGTTCGCAGGGGAGGAAGTTTGACTGCGAGGGGATAGGCGGATATAGTAAAAGTCGTAAAAGACACGTATAATCAAATTAGCCTGTACATGAAATAGGCCCCCATAAACTTAACTCGGCATGTACGGTGTGCAGCTGCAAAGGCTAGGAAGGTTTCGCCAGTTTACCACATCTCACCTCCAAGCTCCGCGTGACTAATTAGTATGAAAGGCAAAATTGCCCCTTTCTGTGACTCTGGGGCCTACAGGATGACGTCCGGGGTAGTTTGGGTCAGGCCATACTACTGGATAGATAAGATGGCATGACATGCCCTTTTTGTTGCTTGTGCTGGCAGTGGATAGATAGCAGCATCCATGCGGAGAAAGCGAATGAGCCTGAGCAAGTCACCGCCTATCCAACTTTGAGGACATGCCTTTTTTTTTTAAGGAACCTCGCCATACCATATACTTGGGGGGGACTGCGGATGATGTAAATAGATATGTCCCATGTATAGGCTCGCTCGGCGTTGAAGCAGTGCCCATCATAGTACCCGATACTCATACTATTCCATCCCTAGCAGCGTTTGGAAGTCCGGAGCACAAAGTCCGAAAACTCAGGTACGGAGTATTGATAGGCTTCATAGCGGCTTTCCAGAATCCCGACTGGCCGGTTGATCTCCGGTTGACGCGTCGAGAGGAAGAACTTTGACGTGCGCGTGACCAGCGGGTCATTGTCTTAGTAATCGACTTTTGTGTTGAATTCTTACTACTTCGTACAGTAAAATAACCCCTGTTAAGTTGGGAGTACTCCGTAACTAGAAGATAGTATTGTTTTGTTGAATGGGAAATGCTCAGGGTCTCGGCTCAAGTGGGGCAGTCCAGATCTGATGACCTGCCCAGAAGGTGGATCACTTTCTTTTTTCTTTTTGTTTCCCCTTTCCTTTTTGAATGCTTATGGACAACTTTGTAACAGTTGGTCTCCAATTTTTTGAATTTTTAGTTTTAGTTTTAGTTTTACTTTATTTTTATTTTTTTTCCGATTTTTCTTTAAAACCTCCATAGTAGACAGTCTCGTACGAGAAACGGGGAGATGCAATGGGAAATGGAACTCCTGGGGGAAAGCGGGGAGGATTTCTACTATTGGATGATTGAGAAGACACAGGTCGCTGTACTTTCCCAAATTCTTCTACACAGTATGTAATATGTATACCTTTAGTACTAGTTCATGATACTCTTTCTTCCCCCGGTTCTCCTTTTCACTAAAGTGCTTCTACTTGGTAGTAAAATAATACCAAGCGGTCAACGTAAGGTAACTAGTTACTTTGACCTCTATGGTGATTCAGATAAGACAAGACTTTAGGAGAAATTAATTTCCATCTGCCCCAAAATTCCTACCCCGTCTCCCCACGGAGTTCAACCCAGCTGGGAAAGGCAGCTCAAACATTCTCCCAGGACGGCCTCGGCATCCATGCATTTGCAGGTTCTTTTATTCTTTGCCAGATCATCATCTAGCCTAAAATTTAGAGCCCTGTCTTAGCTATTCTATTTCTGATCTAATATTATTATTCATTACCTTACTTAATTTCTCTGTTATCTCTTCCAATAAGAGGAGCGATCCGTTTTATGCCATTTGCCTTGTTATTGTATGCTTTTCGGCTTTCATTTTCCGTTGCCATTTAACCTTCGAAGAGAACCGGTCTACTATGCGTTAGTAGAGTATCTATCTAGTTGTACCTTATCCGACTTGGACTTCCTCCTCCCTAGTCCCTTCTTTTTAATCAAACTGATAATCGGAGGAAAAGAGGGCTTGGCTGGACAGGAGGCAAGACGCATTCTCCATCCGGATAAGATGGTCCTTTCAAAACCCCCAATCACACCGATGCTACACCCCCCTTCTTAGATAGTAGATAGTAGTACTAGTGGTACTACAGAGTGGTACAGTAGTAACTTGATGACTGGCTAATGCATAATCTAGCTGTTCCCATTCTCTCCCAATTTCCCAACTTTTCTTTTTCCCCCCTTCCCTCCGGGGGAGAACAGGTGTGGGCCTATCCTTTCGGTCCGTCTGGAGTCATGCATGGTCTGGCTAGTGGCTAAGTGTTCTCTGGCTGCTTCTTCTTCTTCTTTGCCTTTGCCTTCCGCCTCTTTCCCCCCTCTCACCCCCAACCTGCGACCCACCCTGGCGGATTGGATGAATGCTTGGCCCGTCTGATGATCTGTCCGGAGTACCGAGTACAACCTGCAGCTCCCATCTATCTATCCATTCTTCCAGGCCCATCCGAAGTAGATCACTGGCTCGGCTCGCATGGTAACCCCCAGGTAGGTCACTGCTGAGGTGAGGATCTTGCCATCCTCTCGCCTTCTTGCTCGTTGTCCGTTTCAAGTGGTTGCATGAATTTAGTCTGCCCTATCCTCTTGGGTTTCCACACCGGCTTCCTTCTTTTGGCTCTCTCTCCATTGCCGTCTGTGTTGTTCCCTTTACTTTTCTTTTTTCATTTTCCTGCTATATAAAAATATTATTTAACTGCCTCCTCCCCGGCTACTATTGTCGTCGAGGTTTCCTTTTATCTCCAAACCTTCTTGCCCCCAGGCTCGTATGCTCCCATCTACGGCTCTTTATCTTCCCACCCTCCCTCGTATTTGAAAATAAGCTCAAAAAGGCACCCACCTCCCCAATTCCATCGACATTCTAGAAGCCATCTCTCCTCCCCTGGAAGCCATCCTGTCTGCTGGTCCTTCCACCCAATAGGGGGTCCCACAGACACGATCTTTCAGTCAACTTCCGTGGTTTACTGGGTAGGTAATGATTCGTTGTTCGTGCTTGTTTCAATATCCGCGAACTAGTAACGGAGACACTCATACTTCAACCTGTCGTGATGCAGCACACAGCTTGACATTCCTGCGCAAAATCGGCCCGACCAGCCCGTCAAAGGAGAGAGAAGTACTATATACATCCAGACATTATATAGCACTTCTAGATCCTATTATTAGCCACCCTGCCCAACTACCCAACCAGGCTGGCCTGAGTGGTTCAGGTTGCGCACGAACTACTTCCTGATCGTCGTCTGCTAGTCCGGTGATCTCATACTTGTCGCATTGCCACTCTTCCTTTCGCTGGCCCCCGTGACGCTTCTTTTAACGCCCAGAACCTCTGTATAACCCCCTAGTATGTCCAGCGGTGAGTTATGGTCCACTTTAGTCACCGCAATCGATCCCGGTAGTACCAAAGCCATGCCCATTATCCTTCAATCGACCATCGATCTTTTGGAGACAGAACTAGCCAAGGCTAGAGCGGCGCTCCATGAGATCCAGCCCACGGCATCATCTTTATTTACGAAGCGGGATGAGCTCGCTTTGGGCGCTGTGGCAGCATATCGTCAAAATCTCATTGACCGTGCGCCGGACTTCTTCTATGGCGCGAGCCGATTGACCCCCAAGGAGCTGGGGCTTGTCCCTGCAGTCCGCGAAGTACAGGCGGCCGATGAGGACGATGATCATGTAAAGACCGCGTCTAAGCAACACCTTCAGCCTGTCCAGCCTGTTGCGCCGAAGCGCGCTACTTTGGCAGATGTCTTATCCAACAGTCTAATCCTCGACCATATGGCCCCATATCTGTCAACCCCCTCATTGTTGGCTCTAGCATCCACTTCCCGCCAGGTTCGGTCATCGATAGTGGACACCCCCTACATTTTCCGCCACCTTGATCTGACTCAATGCCGTGGCGCGAAACCAGGCAGCACATCTACGATAGACTCAGTTGAACAAGCATGGAGTGGTGAGCGAGCGGAAGACTCCGTGGTCGAGGATGAGTTTTATTCTGCGCCTTTGAGGAGCATCTTCGCTAGTCTCCAAAGGCAGTCGCTCCTGCAGGACGTGCGCACATTGGTTCTAGATGGACTGTCCGTTCCAGCGGGATTGGTTGCGGAAATCATCCTCACAGATCGCTTCAACGTTAATATTCTATCCATAAGGGAGTGCCGCCATCTCAATGAGCGAAAACTAATGCAGGTGCTGACCCATGCGGTGCGGCCTTCGCGCCCCAAGGGCACACCCCGTGTCAAAGGCATCTATCACTTTACTCCTCTTCATCAGTCTCGTGCGGTAGTCCGCAGCAGATACCGCGACTGGTGGAGCTCGAGATGCGGCAGCCAATCGTCTTGCATTAGTCCAGGTTCGGAAAACGAGTCTGCAACTGCTGAACTTGCTGAAATTGCCACACAACAACAGGATGCATGGTATCATCCGTCCGGGCAGCTCTTCAAGCAGAGCATTGAGGATGGCTGGGCAGAGACAATCAAGCAATGCGAAGGTATCATTGCCTTTGACGCTGTTCTGTGCCGTGGTCCTCGTCATGACGTTGATCCTTCCCCTCCCATGCCGGAAGACCAGGGTGTATCTCAGCCGGAAGGCCGGCCACCGCTTGAACCAAAACTGGCAACTGTTGCACTAGGGCCCCGGGGGTGCGATGGCTGCCACACCTCACCCGAAGGCCCAACCTTCTGGGGCCAGTCTCCGGATGAAAACCTTCCCCTGCTCACGCCGCCCCCGCTCCACTCTTCCTCCGCAGTCAAGGCAAAACGGCCGGTGTTGATTCCGGACGAACAGCCCAGTCTAATCGCTCGCTGCACGGATTGCTTGACAGACCGGTGGTGCCATCGTTGCAATAAATGGTTCTGTGAGGATTGCCTGCCTCATCCAGAACGTGTACGGAACAATCTTTCACCGCATCAGACAGCGTTCAGAAATCCGCAGAGCAGTCCTAGTAGTACTGAACAGTCCGAAGATCGTGAGGTTCGTATCTGAGAGGCACCGTATGATGTAGAGAATATGTCTGACTGAATCGAACAGCAATTCAGCCGTGGTGTAAGCAAAGACTGCTGGGAATGTGGTCCCACGGTAAGTCAATTAGACTACAGTTATGTTTGCCGCCACATTCTGACAGTTCGTGCAGTGTGCTCAGTGCAAGACAGAATGCCAGCGAACTTGCCAAAGCTGCCGTGGTGAATATTGTGTTGAGCATAATGAGGGCTGTTCGTCGACGATGGTATGTTTTTTGAGTCACCCGAACCCCTTTTGCACTCATATTGACCTTGGTGGCATTCTCACAGTGCGATTGGTGCAATGCCAGTACCCGGAATCGGGTGAGAGAACTGTATTGACATCCTGTGCGAGTCGAGGCTCCCATGAGCTAGTCTGGAGAAGACACGTAATTATGGACTCCATCAAACATCTAAGGGAAGTATATTCGGCCTCTCTCGGCCTGCTCGCATCTTGCTATATTGAGATTTTCTTCGTTACGGTTCACAATCTTGTCTCTATCTTTTTCTGGTACTATATTAGCCGGCGTGCTTTTCTCGCCACTCAGAATACCACTGCAGCGCGTATGATTCAGCCATAGTTCGAGTGTACCTAGCATGAAAGACCTGTAGGCCGGCCCTAAAAGGCAATAGGAGGGGAAAATAATAATCTTAAAATGCTAAAAGATAGTAGTAGTAGAGAACGTGGTCAGTAACGTTAGACCGACTGAAGTTAGATGACAAATCGGCGGCTGGGATTCCAGAAGGCACGCGGTGTTTCGCAACCTCAGATGAGCCGCAATGGATGGATGGATGCATGCATTCTTTCCATCATCCATCGCCCCCCACCCACGATCATTCTTAATCTCTGATTCTTGTCCCATGATGGTCTCCGCTACTGCCCTCGTCTCCACTCTCCCCTCCACACTCTCTCCCCCTTTGCTTCCTCACATACCTCTTTCCCTCCCGCTTCGGATATCATGACGGGGAACCAAGGTTCCTTGCGCTGGTCATCGCAGTTGACCGTTGCTCCAGCCCAGCAAATCCCCAAGCTTTCCGGCGATAAGATCATACTGCCACCATCCGCGCTTGAGCAGCTTCTCGCGGCTGCCCCGCTTCAAGAGGTAACTTCGTCAGGCCCAGCACGCCCATACACCAACACTTTCGATCCCTTTAATCCGCACACCTTCGCCGCCGAGTCCCAAGCGCGCGAACGGGCGGTGGATCGCCAGCAGCAATTGCCCCATCCGCTTACGTTCCGCATCGTGAACCCTCAAAACGACCGGGTGGTATATGCTGGTGTCCGCGAGTTTTCTGCGGCAGAGAACGAGATCGGCCTTAGCACATTTTTACGTGGGGCCCTTGGCATTGATGGTACGCGACAACCGTCACCACACGGCGGTGATGGTAATGATGGTGATGTGACAGACAATGCGCCAGCCGCGCCGACCACGGTCACGGTCCATGCGCAACAGTTACCGAAAGGTACTTATGTCCGCCTGCGCCCTCTAGAAGCCGGATACGACCCGGGAAATTGGAAGGCTTTGCTTGAACAACAGCTGCGGGACAATTACACCACCTTAACCTCTGGAGAGGTCCTCACCGTTGCAGGGGGCCGCAATCAGTCGTTTCAGTTCTTGGTTGACAAAGTTGAGCCCCATGGCAATGGCATCTGCGTTGTGGATACGGATCTGGAAGTGGATATTGTCGCCTTGACAGAGGACCAAGCCAGAGAGACGTTAGAGAAACGGTTGGAGAAATCTTCCCGTGTCTCTGCGAATAGGGCAGGCACATCCGTGGGAGGTGAGCTGCGACTCGGTCAGGTAGTAAGTGGTCAGGTTGCGCTTGGGGACTATGTCGACTACGAGGTCCTTAAATGGGATCCTTCGAATGCACTGGAACTGTCTGTCAAGGGTGCCGACGATGTAGATCTGTGTCTTTTTGCCAGTCCCCTTTCTGCTCGCCAGAGGAACCGACCGCGGGAGGATGAGCATGTTTTCGGTGACCTATCAAATCGACCGACTAAACGGATTAGGATCCAACCGACGAATGTGGATATGGAAGGCGCCGAGTTGCTGTATATATCGGTCCATGCTCCCACTTCCACCGACAGTTCAGAAAATGGACTTTCGGCGCTGCCGTATAGCCTACAGGTCCATGTCGGCTCGTCACCCGCACAAGCTGAGAACGCTGCAGACAGCGAGCCAGAAAGTCATGAACCGGGTGATGTGCAGTGTAAGAATTGTCGTCAATGGGTACCTGAGCGGACATTGATGCTACATGAGAACTTTTGCCTTCGAAACAACATTCTCTGCCCCCAGTGCCAGAACGTGTTCCAGAAACGGTCTCCGGAATGGCAGACACATTGGCATTGTCCTCATGACTCGGCTTATGGCACCGGTGACGCCGAAAAGAATCGACATAATCGCTTTTTCCACAGCAAGCGCTCCTGTAGTGGCTGTGGATTCGAGGCGGAGGACCTCTCACGTCTCGCTCAACACCGCACAACTGTCTGTCCGGCAAAACCCATTCTGTGCCAATTCTGTCATCTTGTGGTCCCTCAAAAGAGTGAATCAGACCCCGAAATGGACGATCCGGACGTTTTAGTCTCCGGCCTCACACCACATGAGTTGGTGGACGGTGGCCGGACAACTGAATGCCACCTCTGTGACAAAATCATCCGTCTCCGCGACATGAAAATGCACCTTCGCCATCATGATCTAGAACGTCTGTCTCGACCCACTCCTCGCATATGCTTAAATCAAAATTGCGGACGGACGCTTGATGGACGCGGTACTCAAACCGCAGTCAACCTCGGTCTATGCAGCATCTGCTTTGGACCACTGTACGTAGACACCTACGATCCCGAAGGCAAAGCACTCCGGCGGCGCATCGAGCGCCGCTACCTCTCTCAGATGATGAGCGGCTGCGGCAAACCATGGTGTCAAAACGAATATTGCAAAACGGGCAAACAAGCTAGACCATCTTCCACATCTGGTGCGTCTGCCCCGTTGGGCGCGGCAGCTATTCTAGCCGCAGTGCGGCCTTTGCTTGACGCCGTCAACCTTCGAGGAAATGCACCGAACACCGCCCCGTTTTACCTTTGCACGGATCAGACAGGCCAGCAACGCCGCATCGCTGCAGAAATTCTTTCAACTGAAGGCGCAGTAGCTGACGGCAAGACCTATGCATTGCCATGGTGCGTTTCCGCCGTTGAAACCACGGCGGGAAATTTAGACAAGGCGCGAGAGTGGTTGGAAAATTGGGCGCCTGCGCAAGGGGAAGGCACGGAATCATTTCAACGGTAGATAAATTATCGTTAATATTGTCAAATACCATGCATATTGTCAGCCAGCTAGGCAACGATACTGTTTATGCACTGTGTAGTTTCTCACGTGTTGAAGGCGAATTGCTAGTAATGTCAGGATAAGTCTAGTGAGGCCTGCTACACACTTGTGGCTGTAGATATTACACACGGAACGGCAGTTAAAAAGTCCGCAAGACTTAGTATTATATCGAGACTCCTTCCATGGATATCTGAATATAGAGTTATATATCTACGCAGTTAAGGAACAGTCCGTGTCTCGTGATTAAGTATATGTATAGAAGAAAGAGAGAGCTTAATGATTCGTTGTCATGATTTCAATCAGATATCGTCTGAGCATGCTTGCATGTATAATCTGTATCACGCCGCGCCCGTCTTAGCAGCCAGAGTCCCACTACCCCGAGACGAAAAGATACCCATGATCCCAAAGACCACATAAAACAATGCCAGCGGATATGCGACCAGACCCCTCATTCCACGCATGCGCGCCACAGCACAGAACATTCCTGAAGAGCTGTACGTGCACCACCCCACGGCGGCGGTAGTCAACAAGTATCCGAACAGAGTGTCCATGGGGATCAGAATCCCCACTAAGCTGGTCAGCACTAGCGGGAGGAAACAGTATCCCAGCACGCTAGCGGAACGAGGGAAGGTCAAGGTAGCGGAGAAGTGGCCGGCAGCGGAGGCGTCCGACATCGTGGGTTTGTGATGGGGAGAGTAATTGGCGGGATCTGCGGCGTTGGGGACGGGGGCCGTATCGAGGGCGGGAGACATCAGACTGAGAATGAGATGTAAAGCTACGGTTCCGAAAACTGCGACGCCGTAAATGTAGCCGTAGAAAACCTTTCCGGAGAGCAGCAGGAATGTTCCATAGAGAACGATGTAGAGAAGGGCTCCGTAGAGGTCGCTGTCATCCATGAGGTGTTGGTCGATACGTGCAAAAGGGTTGAGCACAGTTAGGGTCTATAAGGTAGGAGCAATGGTAAGCTTGGGTTTCACTAGAGCTCCTGCTATACAGCTGGTTGATTAGACCGCGGATGGGGGGCTTGCAATATGTACACACCTTCGTGCGGATATGCTCGAAGTTGACTCCAAGCTCTTCTAGAAGTGGTGGCTCCCCATCGTAGCCCTCCGTGCCAAATGCAGCGAGCCATCCAGTCCTCAGTCCTCCTTGCTCACCCATCCTTCCACTGACACCTGCAGAAGGGGACCCGAAGCCGCCATATCCGCCACCAACCCCTCCGACGGGGTATGCCTGAGATGCTGAATTAGGCGCACCACCAAAACCGCCGTAGGATGCCTGTGACGGGGTCGTATGGCCCGAGACGGAGGTATAGGATGAAGGGTAGAATTGGAGGTTTTGCGCCGATGATTGCACGCCGTAAGGCTGCTGCTGGGGGTAATACTGGGCCATTGCGGCCAGGCTTCCGGGTCGATGTCGGATTAAAGAGACGAGTGGGAACTGTAAAACTTAGTGAGCGTGTCCGAATGTCGCGCTATTAACTAGAAGAGTGAGTAGAGGGAGGAGACAGTGATTTGGGAAGTTGAGGATGGAGTTGGAGACGAGGAGTTGCAGGCAGAGAGAACAGCTGGCGGGCGGTGAGATTAGTTGCCTGAGTCCCCAAGGCCACCAGCCACACCGGGATATAGTTATCAGTTGTATATTTAACGAACTAATGATCATTGAATATCAACGCTTAATTGATTCATGCTTCTAACAGGAATGGGAGCTCCCTTTGAGAAAATAAAAGAATATGAGCGACTCTCCCCAGTCTCCCTTCCCCCTCCTCTATCTAGTTTGTTACAGTGTCGAATATTTTCTACAGGAAATTGATGCCGATTCCAAACTGCAGCCCCTTCCGGCCTTCCTCACCCTTGCGAAGGACCAGAGGTAGGGAGAAGTTGAGCTCGAACCTGGCCACCGGATGGGCGTAGACAAGTCCGACACCCGCCGCGATGCTAGGCAGACCGTTGGTTAGCTCGGAAACCGTGGAAGCCATGGCTTTTTGGACCTCCGCACTCGAAGTAGGTGCATTCTTGTCAGCCGTGCGGAGGGACAACAACCGTCCGCCGTTGACAAAAGCTTGCAGGCGGAGAGGCTTCTCCGCGCCTACCCTGGGGAGTGGGAACAGAAGATTGGCGCTTCCTGCAGCATACAAATCACCACCGACAGCATCTGCTCCGTCATGGGGACCAAGACCGCAGAGACGGAATCCACGGACGTCTGTAGGGCCTCCAAGTAGGAATCGGTCGTTCGTGCGAGAGAGCTGGGGTCTGGAATCACTATCAAGTCCAAGAGGGTAAAGAAGACCGGCGCGGAAGCCAGTAGTCAGACTGATACCACTGTCTCCTTTGATGCCAGGGATC